GAGCACATGCGGAGGGGTGGTAAAGGGACATAAAACTGGAAAAACTTTTTTTTAATTGGTTGTGGGGCTTGAACTCAGGGCATGGGTGCTGTCCTTGAGCTTTTCTGTTCAAGTCTAGCACTCTACCACTTTGAGCACATATCTCCAATCAACCACTAAAAATTGGGAAGTGGCACTGTGGCTCAAAGTGGTAAGGCACTCGCCCTGAGCAAAAGGAGCTCAGGACAGCGCCCAGGCCCTGAGTTCAAGCCCTATGATTGAGTGCAAACCCCTAAAGAGCTTGTCATTCTTCAAAACTCTGGAAAGATGCTAAGAACATTTTGAGAGAACTCAATGAATTTAAGAAAGAAAAATAGGCTGGGTGCTGGTGACACCTGTAATCCTAGCAATTCAAAAGCCAGCCTGGGCAGGAAAAGTCCCTGAGACTCTTACCTTCAATTAACCACCAGAAAACCAGAAGTGGCCCTGTGGCTCAAGTGGCAGAGCGCTCACCTTAAACTGAAGAGCTGAGGGACAGCACCCAGGCCTAGAGTTCAGGCCCCGCGACCGACAAAAAAGAAAAAAGAAAGAAAAAGAAAACTCTTCAATTTTTTTTTTTTATTTTAAAATACTCGTTTTCGAAGATGTGGAAAACTGAAAAAAATGTCACCTCTAGACTTCAAACTCTTGGATGGCAGGGTCCGATGTTGCTTTTTTTCTCTTTAATAATGAACTTCTTTCGTTTTGCCAGTCCTGGGCTTGCACTCAAGAGCCTGGGCGCTGTCCCTGAGCTTCTTTGGCTCAAGACTAGCGCGCTACCATTGAGCCACAGCGCCACTGCCAGCTTTTCCTGTGCATGTGGTGCTGAGGACTCGAACCCAGGGCTTCATGCACGCGAGGCGACCGCTCTACCACTGGGCCCCCTTCCCGGCCCCCGAGCTTTTTTCTTCTTCCAGCTCACAGCGCTTACTTACATCCTCGTACATTAGTTGTAGGTTGCACATTTGACCTGAAACGTGGGCGCCCTGTCTCGGGCCTGCCTGCCTGCACTTCACGTGCTTCTTTTCCCTGGTCCTCCAGGACCGCGCGGGGGAGTCGAGGGTGGCCGGGAGGGGGCCCGGCGGTGCGCGGCGGCCGGCGGAGGGCCTCCCCCCACCGCGGCCGGACGCGGGGCCAGGCCGGACCGGGGCCCGGCCGCCGCGCCTGCGCCCGCGCGCCCGCCCGCGGCCTCCGCTCCGCGCCTCGCTCCTCACCTCATCTGGTAGTGCATGGCCACGCGCTCCCGGTGCTGGAAGTCGCTGCCGTCGGTGCCGGCCGCTCGCGGCCCTGCCCGAGACGCCATGGTACCGGATCCGACCCCGGAGCGCCCCCGTGCCGGCCCGCGCCCACCAGCCCACCGCTCAGCCCCCCGAGGTCCCCACGCGCCGCTCAGCCCGGCTACCCAGCGGCCCCGGGCGCTGGAAGCAAACTTCCGGCCTCTCTGTCTCTGGAGGACCGACTCGTTGGTCACTGCCCCGCGCGTGCGCCCTCGCTCTCGCGGCCCCGCCCAGTCCCCCTGGCGAGCTGCGTGCCGAGCCCGCCGTCGGCGTCTTTTGCTGCCAAAGGCTCGTCGCACACTGATCCTTTCCGCTTCTGCCAGCAGGGAGTTGGTGGCTCACGCCTGTAATCCTAACTACCCAAGAGGCTGAGGTCCGACGATGGCGGTTCAAAGCCAGCCCCGACAGGAAAGTCCCAGAGCCTCTTACCTTCAGTGACCCACCAGAAAACCGGAAGTGGCGCTGTGGCTCAAGTGGTAGAGCGCCCGCCTTGAGCACAATAGCTCAGGGACAGTGCCTTGGCCCTGAGTTCAAGCCCCAGGACTGACAAAATACAACAACACACCTTCTGTCCACACTTCCCAGACCAGGAAATTGAGACCTAGAAGTGTTTGTGACTTTCGTGCTCCCACACATTGAACAGTTCCTGAATCCAGCAGCAAAGAGAAAGCATGAACCTCACAGTAAGGAAACCTGGCGCATGCTCGTTCAGACAAGTGACCAAAGTTACCTAAACCAATACTATGCCACACTGACACCTTGATACCTCGTGGTACACTGAGTTCAAATCCCAGTACTGCAACCCAGCTTTGCATCTGTGAAATCCCTGCACAAACACCCCAAAACCCTATACCCAAACTCAGGAACCCTGCAAGACAACTGGACTGGGCTCTTTGGAAATGTTAAGGCCATGAAAGAAAAAAAAATCCAAATAATACCATCTGTAAAGGAAAAAAGTAGAACGGTGGGGTGGAGCGCAGTGAGTAATGGTGAGTGTGTTTAATGAGTACAGAGTTTGCTTGGGATGATGAAAGAAATCCAGAAGTGGATGGTGGTTTGCTGTTAGAAGAACTGAAAAACTTCAGCGTGACTGCTGCATTCAAAGTTACTTGGGAGCTGGGAAGGTGGCTCAGTGGTAGAGTGCTTGCCTAGCTGGGTTCCATTCCTCAATACCACATACACAGAAAAAGCTGGAAGTGGTGCTGTGGCTCAAGTGGTAGATTGCTAGCCTTGAGCAAAAGACGCTTAGGGACAGTGTCCAGGCTCCAGGTCTGGCAAAAGAAAAAAAAAGTTACTTGGGAGGTTGATCCCAAACTCCTAGGTTTAAGTAATATTCCTGTCCCAGCCTTAGTTTGGGACTACAGTATGTACCACTGCATCTGACTTACATCTCTTATTATGTGCTGGGGCTAGGGTTTGAGCTCAGGGCCTGGGTGATAGCCCTAACCTTTTGTACTCAAAGCTAGAGCTCTACCACTTGAGCCACAACGCCACATCTGGTCTTTTGGTGGCTAATTGGAGAGTCACAGATTCTTCTTCCTGTGCTGCCTTTGACACATGATCCTCAGATTTCGACCTCCTGCATAGTTAGGATTACCCACTGGTGCCTGGTAATCCCTTAGTTTTTCTACTTAAGGAAGTTGCTCTACCTCTTAAACCACAACTAGACTTTTCTTCCAGGATTAGTTTTGAACCATAATCCTCAGATTTCAGTCTTCTGAGTAGCCAGGATTACAGGCGTGAGCCAAAGGGGCCTGGCTTCACGTTTTTGGTGCCTACCTTCTGCGCTGCACTTTGTCCATCAGCGCTGGCCTGTTCTGAGTCATCCCCTGGCCTCTTTATCATGGCGCAGCCTGTACACACAGAATGTTCAATACATGCTGAGGCCTGAATGGCCCAGGGACGGGTGACCCTTTCCCCAGTGCTTCTTTCCTGAAGTGTTCTGCTGCGCTTCCCTCCTGGCTCCTGGTCAGCCTGAAGGATAAGCTACTTAGGTTCCTGTTGCTTCAGCCTGCTGGTTCCTTTCTCAAACACTATGCACTGGTGCTTAGCTTTGCTTGGATGGTACCTCTAAGACTTCAAACCTGTCTCAGAGCTAAATCCAAGCCAGTTCTCGCTGCAGTCATTTGCTATAATATCACCTTGTTTTATTTTGTTTTTAATTTTTATTTGCCAGTGGAGGGGCTTGCTGTCTTTTAAAGGCTTAGCACTCTTACTACTTGAGCCACACCACTACGTCTAGCTTTTTCTGAGTGGATAATTGGAGATAAGGATCTCACAGACTTTCCTGCTCCAGCTGGCTTCAAATGGCCATCCTCAGATCTCAGCCTCCTTAGTAGTTACAATTACAGGTTTGAGCCACCAACGCCCAGCTAAGATATAATTTATATAACACATAATTCACCTAACTAACCAAGTGCTAGTGGTACACACCTGTAATCCTAGCTACTGAAGACTGAGATCTAAGCCAGTTTAGGCAGGAAAGGCTCTTATCTCCAGTTAATCACCAGAAAAATTGGAAGTGGTGCTATGTCAAAATGGTAGAGCACTAATCTTGAGGGAAGACCCTCAGGGACAGTGCTCAGGCCTTGAGTTCAAGCTCTGTGACTGATATATAAAATAAAAATAAAAATTACCGGGGCTGGGAAGGTGGCTCAGTGGTAGAGCGCTTGCCTTGCATGCCTGAGGCCCTGGGTTTGATTCCTCAGCACCACATAAGCAAAAAAAAAAAAAAAAAAAGCCAGAAGTGGCGCTGTAGCTCAAGTGGTAGAGCACTAGCTTTGAGCTGAAGAGCTGAGGAACAGCGCCCAGGCCCAGAGTTCAGGCCCCACGACCGACAAAAATAAATAAATAAATAAATAAAAAGATTATGTAACTTACCAAAATAGATATATGGATGTAAGTTTTCATTTCTCTTAAGGATGTGTGTGTTAATTTCTGCTATTATTCATTAAATATATAATCAATAATATAATCACCTCTATTGTATGTGAGTTGAAAAGACTTTACTTCGATTGTCACTAATTCTCACTATAACTGCATAGAAAACAGGAGCCAGAGCCAGGCCCTGATGGCTCTCGCCTGTAATCCTAGCTACATAGAAGGCTGAGACCTGAGGATCAAGGTTCAAAGCCAGCCCAGGAAGGAAAGTTCAAGAGACTCTTATCTCCAATTAACCACCAAAGAGCTGGAAGTAGAGCTGCGGCTTAAATAGTATATAGAATGCTAACTTCAAGTGAAAAAGCTCAGGGACAGCTTCCAGGCCCTGAGTTCAAGCCCTAAGACTAGCATACCACATTTACACACAGACACAGGCAGACAGACACACACATACACACACACACTAACAATAACAACAGCAAAAGCAAAAAAAAAAAACAAGCCAGGAATGGTACAAATGAGAGAAGCTAGGGTTCCCAGAAGTAAAGCAACTCAGATCAGCGCCAGTGGCCAGTCTGGGGTGGAGTGGAGCTGGGAGCAGAGCCCACACGTTGCTTTCTGTGCCCTCTTGCCTGATATCCTGGTGGGCTGTGCCCCTTTGCCAAGCTGTGGAAATATGCCTTCTTCCCTCCTTTCAGGCTTTTCCGGAAGGCAGGCTGGCCTGCAACTCCCCGGGGAGCCCCTGGACCTCTGCTCTTTTCCCTAGCTGGGGCAGAAGGCCAGGGGAGTGGCTTCATGGGAGCTGGAATATAATGGCAGGAGGGCGGCCAGGGCTGGCGCTGGCTCTGCGGTTGAGGAGGAGGCTGTGAGGGGGAGGTGAGGCGTTGGAAGCTTTTGGTCCTAGAGAGCAGGTATGGCGATGCTCCATAGCGTTGTGTCAGGGATGAAGAATGAGTGAACCCGGAGCAAGTGGAGGGCCAAGAGGGGAAGAGGGCCTTCTGCCTCTGTGGGGGCCACCTGGGGGAACCCCAAGTTGTGAGGAGGAGAGCAGTGATTTTGCCTGACTAGCCAGGGGGCTTCTGTTCCCTGCTCCCTGCTTTGTTGGGCTCCCCATGCGGGGGCAGAGAAGAGGAAGAGCCGCAGCTGAAAGCCCGGGCCAGGCCGGTGGCTAGCAAGGCAGGATGGCGCGCTCATTCTGAACATCTTCTAAAAGGCTTTTCAAGGAATCAGAAGCTGTGAAGCTGGGCTTGGGGACAGCAAACTTTGAGCTCTGAGTCAGGGCAAGGCGTTGCAGGTGGAGGCAGCTGGCCGTGCGGAGGTTTGATTTAGGGGGAAAAAAAATAGTAGCAGGTGAGAGCTAGGGTTTCCTGCCAGGCCCATACTGTCCAGTGTGAATGCTGGAAGCCAAAAGCCACCATGGTTATTCGTGTGTGTGTGTGTGTGTGTGTGTGTGTGTGTGTGTGTGTGTGCACATGTGTACTGGGACTTGTACTCAGAGCCTTGGCCCGGCCCTTTAGCTTTTCCTATAAAGGTTGGCACTCTACCACTTGAGCCACAGCTCCACTTCTGGCTTTTTGGTGGTTAATTAGAGATAAGAGTCTTACAGCTTTTTCTGTCTTAGCTGGCTTTGAAATGAGATCCTCAGATCTCAGCTTCCTGAGTAGCTAGGATTAGAGGCGTGAGTCACCTGCACCTGGCCACTGTGGCTATTTAAATTAGTTCAAATTCCAGAAATATCACCAAGCCAGCTTCTTAGTCCTATTTATTAGCCACCGTTCACAGGCTCAATAGCCACACGCAGTTGATAGCGTCTGGTTTGGGGGGAGCACAAACCTGCAATACTTCGGTCATCACAGAAGGTTCTCGGGGCCAGTAGGAAGTCTCAGGGGGCTTGATTGCTCAAGGAGCCATGGCAGAGAGCAGGTGAAGGCTCAGAACTCTAGGTGGCCACGGTAACTCCAGAATGACAAGGGGCGTGACTCACTGCCAGCCAGTGCAAAGTGGACTCTGCCCCTGGGGACGGGGGCGAGGCCTCAGCTGGACTTAGACGTCCGGCTCAGTGTGACCAGTGCCAGCGTCAGAGAGACATGGAGTGAGTGCAGCCGAGCGTGAGCCGGGGGGGGGGGGGGGTCCAGCTCACTCATAGTTAGCGTTGGGGTGGGGGCAGCAGAGAAGGGCTGGGGAGCTGAGGGTCATTTCAGAAGAGAGACCAAGTCAGGAGCTTGCTAGATGGCAAAACAGTCCCTCCTATCCCACCCTAACCAGCTCCTTTGGCCTCCCTCCCAGGTCCAATGCGGTCCAGCTGAAAAGGATGGAATACGCCATGAAGTCCCTGAGCCTTCTGTACCCCAAGTCCTTATGCAGGTGAGGAAGCCAAGGGCAGAAGGGAAGGGGATGCTCTGAGCAGGCGCTTAGACCACCTTACCCCTTGGGACTCTGACTCAGGAGGTCTGGAGTAGAGCCTAAGCCTGTAATCCTGACCCGTCCCGCAGGAAGTGCACACTGCCCCTCTCCCACCCCTCTCCATGCCGGACGGGTAGGTGGGCTCTGTGCTGGCTGCTTTCAGTCCTGATCTCATGGGAGACAAGAATTATTGGCCCACATGAATAGACAGGGAAGCCGAGGTACTGAGAGGAGCACCCAGTCTCTCTTTCTCCCTCTTTCTCTCTTCCTCCTTCCTCCCCCCCCCCACCCAGAGAGTTTCATGGAAGCCAGTCACTGCTGGCTCACACCTGTAATCCTAGCTGCTTATGAGACTGAGACCTGAGGACTGAGGTTCAAAGCTAGGCAAGAAAGACTATGAGACTCTTGTATCCAATTAACCACTTTCAAAAAAGCCAGAAGTAGAGCTATGGCTCAAGTGGTAGAGCTCTAACCTTGAGTACAAAAGCTCAGGGACAGGGTTCAGGCCCTGAGTTCAAGCATGCTCTCTCTCTCTCTCTCTCTCTCTCTCACACACACACACACACACACACAGTCTCATGGACTTTCCTGCCTGGACTGGCTTTGAACCATGATCCTCAGATCTCAGCCTCTAGAGTAGCTAGGGTTATAGGTGTGAGCCAGTGGTGCCCCCAAGTACCCCACTTTACAGATGACATAAGACTAAGAGAGGAAGTGGGTATGGGGGGATGGGTGGACCTCATCACCTTGCTCATGGTGTTAGACATGTAGCTCCCTCCCACCAAGCCCTACCCAGACCTACGGAATGAGAATCTGCCTCGGCAGGTGACTTGAACCCCATCACAGGGCAGTGGAAGTGTTCTGGGCGGCTCTGAGTCAGCGGCCCAGCGCGTGAGGAGATGCAGGATAAAGCCAGCTGGGGGCTGGGAATGTGGCTCAGTGGTAGAGTGCTTGCCTAGCATGCATGAAGCCCTGGGTTTGATTCCTCAGTACCACATACACAGAAAAAGCCAGAAGTGGCACTGTGGCTCAAGTGGTAGAGTGCCTTGAGCAAAAGAATCTGTGCCCAGGCCCTGAGTTCAAGCCCCAGGACTGGCAAAAAAAAAAAAAAAAAAAAAGCCAGCCTGGTGTGTGAGGGGCACTGATACCCACCGCAGCCGCAGCCGCAGCCACAGCCGCAGCTGCAGCCACAGCGAGCTCATCAGACGTTCCAAACTCCCCAGGCACGTGGCCGTGAGCACCGCAGTGGTGACCCAGCAGTTGCTGTCAGAACCCAGCCAGGAAGCCCGGAGGGCCCCGGCCCGGCCCTGCAGAGTGAGCTCCGCAGATCGGAAAGTGCGCAAAGGCCTCATGGCCCGCAGCTTGGAGGATCTCCTCCGCAAGGTGAGCCTCGGCTGGGAGCGGGCCCTGCGGCTGCCTCCATCTTCCAGGCTCTGTGTGCCCTGGGATTCTGCAAGGAAACAGGGTCAGGCCTTAAATGGTGAAAGGTTCCCCTGCGGTGCCAGCTCCAATGCAGCCGGAGTGCTTGGACCACTGTCTGATGGAAGGGCCAGGTCTGCAAGGTGACGGGGCGGGCAGTTGGCTGATCTGTCAGGTATCTGGAACGGAAGAGGAAGACGAGGACCACTGTGGCATCTGTATGAGACTGAGGTTATTTACTAGTGCTGAGGTTGCCGCAGACTTCACCAGTGAGACAGCTTTCCACTCAGCATCAGGGGAAATCCAGATGGTAGATGCAGGCTGCCGTTGGAGAGAAAAGGAGAGACACAAAATTCGATGGCTGATGGGCACTATACTTCTTTTGGTGGTGATGAAAATGTGGTGAAATTAGATAGTGGTTGCACAACATTTTTTGGGAGGGAGGGAGTGGTCCTTAGCTGAAGGTTAGCACCTTACCACTTGAGCCACAGCACCACTTCTGGCTTTTTCTGTGGTTAATTGGTGATAAAAGTCTCATGGACTTTCCTGCCAGGGCTGGCTTCAAACTACGATCCTTAGATCTCAGCCTCCTGAGCAGCTAGGATTACAGGCATGAGCCACTGGCACCTGCACAACTTTTTTTTTTTGTCAGTCCTGGGTCTTGAACTCTGGGCCTGGGCACTATCTCTGACCTCTTCATCTCAAGGCAAGTGCTTTACCACTTGAATCACAGCACCAGTTCCTGTTTTCTGGTGGTTAATTGGAGATAAGAGTCTCATGGACTTTCCTGTCCAGGCTGGCTTTGAACTGTGATCCTCTGATCTCAGTCTTCTGAGTAGCTAGGATTACAGGTGTGAGCCACTGGTGCCCCACCTGCACAACATTTTTTTTTTGTTTGTTTGTTTTTTTGGGTCCGGTCATGGGGCCTGAACTCTGGGCCTGGGCGCTGTCCCTCAGCTCTTCAGCTCAAGGCTAGCGCTTTACCACTTGAGCCACAGCGCCACTTCTGGCTTTTTTCTTTTTGCTTATGTGGTGCTGAGGCATCAAACTCAGGGCCTCTGGCATGCAAGGCATGTGCTCCACCACTGAGCCACCTTCCCAACCCCTGCACAACATTTTTTATGTGAGTGTGTGCCAATACTGGGGCTTGAACCCAGGCTACACACTTTCACTTAGCTTCTTTTCCTTCCTTCCTTCCTTCCTTCCTTCCTTCCTTCCTTCCTTCCTTTTCTTCCTTCTTTCCGTCCTTTCTTCCTTCTTTCCTTCCTTGCTTCCTTTTATTTTTCTCTCTCCTTTCTTCCTCCCTCTCTCTCTTGCTCCCTTCCTTTCTCCCTTGTTCCCTCCCCCTCCTCTTTCTTGTAGTGGGGCTTAAACTCAACCTGGACCTCCAGTTTTGAGGTGGCTAATTAGAAATAAGTCTTAGACGGGAAGGTGGCTCAGTGATAGAGTGCTTGCCTTGCATGCATGAGGCCCTGGGTTCGATTCCTCAGCACCACATAAGCAGAAATAATCCTGAGGTGGCACTATGGCTCCAGTGGTAGAACCCTCACCTTGAGCTGAAGAGCTGAGGGACAGCGCCCAGGCCCAGAGTTCAGACCCTATGACTGACAAAATAAAGATAAAATAAGGGTCTCATGGGTTTTCTCATCCCTGCCTAGGATGGCTTTGAACTGAAATCCTCAGATCTCAGGCTTGAGCCGCTGACACCCAGATTAGCTTTATTTCTGCTCAAGGCTGTTGTAACCCTTGAACCACACCTCTACTTGGTTGGGTTTTTGTTTTTATTTTTTGCTGGTTAGTTGAAAATAAGAGTCTCTCAGACATGTCTGCCTGGGCTGGCTTTGAACTGAGATCTGAAGATATCAGTCTCTTGAGTAGTTAATTGGCATTTAGTTTGCACAGCTCTTTGAATATACTTTTTAAAAAAGCATTGAAAAAAAATTTTAAAAGCATTGAATTATATACTTAAAACGCGTGAATTTATGGCATGTTATTTACCTCAGTAGCTTTTTTTTTTTTTTTTTTTGGTTGTGGGGCTTGAACTCTGGGTCTGGGCGCTGTCTCTCAGCTCTTCAACTCAAGGCTAGCGCTCTACCACTTGAGCCACAGTGCCACTTCCAGCTTTTTCTGTTTATGTGGTGCTGAGGAATCAAACCCAGGGCCTCATGCATGTGAGGCAAGCGCTCTACCACTGAGCCACCTCCCAATCCCTTAACAGATTCTTTTTGGTCAGTCATAGGGCTTGAACTTAGGGCCTGGGTGCTGTCCCTGAGCCTTTTTTGGCTCAAGGTTAGTGCTCTACCACTTGAGTCATAGTACCACTTTGCTTTTGGTGTTAATTGGAGATAAGATTCTTATGAAGCCCGGCACCTGTGGCTCACTTTTGTAATCCTAGCTACTCAGGAGGCTGAGATCAGAGGCTTGCACGCTGAAACCCTCCCAGGCAGAAAAGTCTCCATGAGACTCTTATCTTCAATTAACCACTCAAAAACCAGAAGTGGTGTTATGGCTCAAGTGGTAGGGAACTAGCCTTGAGGACAAAGAGGCTCAAGGACAGTGCTCAGGCCCTGAAGTGCAAGCTCCACAACTGACAAAAAAAAAAAAGAAAGTCTCATGGACTTTCCTGCCTGGGCGTCTTCCAACCATGATCCTCAGATCTCAGCCTCCTGAGTAGCTAGGATTACAGGCATGAGTCACTGGTGCCCAACTTCTCAAATTTTTTTTGGGGGGGAGGGGCTTGAACTCAAACCTGGGTGCTGTTCCTGAGCTTTTTTTGTTCAAGGCTAGTACTACCAGTTTGAGCCACAGCACCACCTCCAGTATTCTGGTGGCTAATTGGAGATAAGAATCTCAAGACTTTCTTGCCTGTGCTGCCTTTGAACAGAGATCCTCAGATCTCAGCCGCCTGAGTAGCTAGGATTACAGGCGTGAGTCCTCAGCACTCAATTAATTTAAAAGCTGCACATGACTGTTGGATTATTAGCAGGCTCTCTAGGTACTAAGAGCCAACCCGAGAAGGGTGGGTAGGGTCCCACAGTAAACAGCTGGGGCCAGTGCCATCCCTGGGTCCCGGTGCTTTTGATCTTCCCCCGGCAGCAGAAGTGATAGCAAGTCCCCCATAAGAGCTCTGTGGTCCTCTGGGGATGGCCAGACCCTCACTACTCCGATTCCTCAGGTCCGGGATGTCTTCAAGCTGAAAGGCAAATCCTTCACCTTGGTGCTGGAGGAAGATGGCACCATTGTGGAGACAGAAGAGTATTTCCAGGCCCTGGCAGGAGACACAGTGTTCATGATCCTCCAAAAGGGGCAGAAATGGCAGCCCCAGGCAGAGCAGGTGAGATCCTTTCTGAGCAGGGGGAAGCTTGGAGCTTGGAAATCATTGAAGGCTGTTAACCACTCGTTTGTCTGGCAGCAGGGGACTAGGTATCAACTGGCCCGCTCTCAGGAGCCTGACAAGAAGATTGATGTGGCCTGTGTAACCTTTGACCTGTATAAGCTGAATCCACAGGACTTCATTGGCTGCCTGAATGTGAAGGCAACTCTCTATAACACATACTCCTTGTCCTATGATCTCCACTGCTACAAGGCCAAGCGGATTGTGAAGTAAGTAGCTTGGGATGAGCTGGGTGGGGTGGGGTAGAAGGCAAAGGCAGAGTCTCTGTTGGTTCACTTGGAGCGGACACTGTCTGGGACAGAGTGTCATGAAGGGAAAGGCCATGTTATGTAAGTTACTTTGGTTGGCCTGAAGGAGGACATAAAAGACTTGGTAGGGTACTGCTTGATGAGTTATGCCTGTAATCTTAGCTACTCAGGAGGCTGAGATTCAAGGATCACAGTTCAAAGCCAGCCTGGGCAGCAAAGTCCACGAGATTCTTACCTCCAATTAACCAGCAAAATGCCAGAAGTAGAACTGTGGCTTAAGTGGTAGAGTGCCAGCCTTGAGCACGAGGCCTTTGAATTCAAGCCTTCGTATTGGCACCTAAAAACAAGAACAACAAAAACCTTATGAGGCCATCTTTTTTTTTTTTTTTTTGGTCAGTCATAGGGCTTGAACTCAGGGCCTGAGCACTGTCCCTGAGCTTTTTTGCTCAAGTCTAGTGCTCTATCATAGCTATACTGGGTTTTTTTTGTTGTTGTTCTTTTGCTTTTGGTGGTTAGTTAGAGATAAGTCTCACAGACTTTCCTGCCCAGGCTGGCATTGGACCTCCATCCACAGATCTCAGCTTCTTGAGTTGCCAGGATTACAGGCATGAGCCACTGGCACCCAGCGAAGCTGGGGATATCTTGGTGAAGACAGCCATCTTAGTCAAGTTGGCTGTGGATGCAGTCCTAGCGGCTGGGGGAAGCCAGCTCCTGCTCCTGCCTGTGCATTGCTCTAAAATAAGAGAGTGTTTTAGTTGTCCCATCTCTGTGGTATTCAGACCATCACTAAGCCGAGGTGACCCCAATTCCTATAGGTTGGCATGGCACTGTGAAGGCATTTGGAGGGGCACAAGAAGGGTTATTCGCCATCTTTCTGATCCGTGTCGTGGTTTCTCCCAGGGAAATGCTTCGCTGGGTGCTCTTCAGCATGCAGACCACAGGCCACCTGCTGCTGGGCACCTCTACTTACATGCAACAGTTCCTGGATGCCACGGAAGAGGCCCAGCCCGCCAAGGCCAAGGCGCCCTCCCTCGTCCCTGCCTGTCTGAAGATACTGCAGTGAAGGCCCAACCCCTTGGAGGCCTGCCCCAGCCAAAGGCAAAGCCAGAACCCTGTGCTTGACTGGTAGCACCCACAAGCCTGGCAGCTAGCTAAACAGCTTACCTCCCACCCCTCCCTCTCTGCACAGGACGGTGGAGGCAGAAGGCAATTCTGGAACCTGGGCGGGCTGACTGATGAAACTCCAGTTCCGAGCCTGACCCAGCTCCTTCCTCCCTGCCTCAGGTCATTTAGCTGATGAAGGTGGGTCACGGGCACGCTATAAGGATGTCACGTTCCCATGCAGCGCTTTCATTCCACTCTCTCCTTCTTGCTTTCTGCCCAGAATGCTCAAATGACTTGTTGAGCCACTAATGTACTGCAGAGTTTGCAATAAATTATTTATGCTGATACATCTCTTGTATTTTTTTTCTTTCTGTCCTGGGGCTTGCACTCGGCACTGTCCCTGAGCTCTTTTGCAAGGCTAGTGCTCTACCACTTTGAGACAAAGAGCCACTTCTAGTTTTCTGGTGATTAACTGGAGGTAAGAGTCTCACACTTTCCTGCCCAGACTAGCTCTGAACTGCAATCCTCAGATCTCAGCCTCCACAGTAGCTAGGATGACAGGCGTGAGCCACCAGCGCCCAGCTTGGGGGGAGGGCTATGGGAGGAAGAGAGGAATCTGTTCTCAAACCATTCGCTATTATAGGAAATAATACTTTTCTACAGAGAGTCCAAGTTAATTTTAGAAGTCTGCTGGAAAATAGAAAAAAAATGTCTGTTGAATTTGAGACCTGTGCAAGGGATAATCAATCCAAGTGCCAATCCCACATGAAACTTGCCTATCCGATGGATGAATTCACTTTTCTTTTCGTGTGTGTGTGTGTGTGTGTGTGTGTGTGTGTGTGTGTGTGTGTGTGTGTGAGTCGTGGGGCTTGAACTCTGGGCCTGGGCGCTGTCCCCTTGGCTCTTCAGCTCAAGGCTAGCGCTCTACCACTTGAGCCACAGCACCACTTACAGTTTTCTGGTGGTTTATTGGAGATAAGTCTCACGGACGTTCCTGTCAGGGCTGGTTTTGAACCGTGATCCTCAGATCTCAGCTTCCTGAGTAGCTAGAATGACAGGCGTGAGCCACTGGCACCCGGCTGAATTCATTTTTCGAATTCTTCAGTGTTACTTTTTTTTTTTTTTGGGGGGTCCGGTCATGGGGCCTGAACTCTGGGCCTGGGCGCTGTCCCTCAGCTCTTCAGCTCAAGGCTAGCGCTCTACCACTTGAGCCACAGCGCCACTTCCGGCTTTTTTCTTTTTGATTATTTGGTGCTGAGGAATCAAACCCAGGGCCTCAGGCATGCAAGGCAAGCGCTCTACCACTGAGCCACCTTCCCAGCCCCTCCCCCTTTTTGTTTTTTTTGAGGAGGGAAAGGAGAGGGCTTGAACTCAGGGCCTGGGCACTATCCCTGAGCTTTTTTGCTCAAGGTTAGTGCTCTGCCACTTGAACTACAGCTGAACTTCCGGCTTTTTGCTGGTTTATTGGAAAGTCTCACAAACTTTCCTGCCTATGCTGACTTGGAAGTGTGATCCTCAAATCTCAGCCTCTGGAGTAGCTAGGATTATTGGCATAAGCCACTAGCACCTGGTTCATTCCTGAGCTTTTGTCCCTACCCCAAGTGCTCTACCACTTGAGCCACAGCTCTACTTCCAGCTTTTTGGTGAGTAGAGATAGTCATGCAGACTTTTCTGCACCAGTTTACTTTCAACCAGGATCCTCAGATCTCAGCCTTGAAGTAGGATTACAAATGTGTCACTGGTACCCAGCTTCAGTGTCAAAACTTGTAATAACACAATTTGCAATATTTTGGTGGGAAAATACCAGTCAAGCTACAAGGCTATTAACCAATGCCCAATATTAGTTTGCTAGACTGCCTAGCTTTCATGCTCCAGACCTCTGGACCTCAAGACTGGGAAGTGAGCTATTAGCAGCAGTGGAGCACTGGTCTAGTACTCCTCAAAGTGAGCTTCAAAGAGGATTAGTATCTCATCAGTGCAGCAACAGCCAGCTCACATAAGCCAAACACGGAAGGCTGCCCTTGTAGGTGGCTGTGCTTTGGTCTGCAATCCTCAATTTCAAAACTTGTATTACTTCATAACTCCTACTATAAAACCTATTTGGACTGTTAATGCTGAAACAAAGGGCTGAGTTGCCCAAGCTGGAAAGCTACTGCCTGCAGCCAATGTGGCAAGAGCAGCCAAGACCAGCTGAGGAGCACTTGCCACAGCTCCACTTCAAACTCAGCTTTTGCTGTTTCAGACTTTCTTGCCTAGGCTGGGCTGTCTGGAACCTCCATTCCCAGATCTCAAGCCTTCTGAGTAGCTTAGCATTACAAGCCTGAGCCAACAAGCCTGAGCCACTGACACCCCAGCTGAAAACACCTTCTATTCTGGGCTGTTCTGCACTTACAGTTGTTGCTGGAGACTGGCTTGGGGCCAGGCTGGCTCCAAGGAAGCAGGTTGCCTGGCCAGAGGGCATGATGTTTGCATTATTTCTGTTCTATCCCTGCTGAAGCTGTGGCCTAGCAGCTCCTGAGACGGAGGTGACGCAAGCTGGTTCTGTCCTCAGGGCCCCTCTGCCTAAGGCCCGGAGATTCCCTAATGAGTCTGTGGTGACTGACCACGGCCGGCTGGGACGGGGCCCCGCCAGCCCAGGGAAAATATAGTTCTTCCTTTTCTTCCAGGAAAGAAGGCCCAGGGGAGTGAGAAGTCATGCCGGGATGGACAGAGGGAAGTGTTGCCATTTAGTAGGGAGGGAAACTGCCCAAGAACAAAGGAGGCAGAGCCCCAGGAGGACCAGTAGCTGGCCCAAATAGGAAAATGGCCTTTCCTGGGGCCCGAACTGCCAAGAGAGGTGTGCTGTAGTTAGGGGGCCTTAGTGTCTTCTCAAGCTGGTAATGAGGTGAACAGGCCTCAGGATTCTAAAATACTAAGGGACTTAGGACAAAGCAGTCCTACACTCAAGATGGGAGTGTCAATCCCTGGCAGGGCTGAGGTGTTTATTAGCAGAGCACTTGCTTGCCTAGCACGCTCAGACCTTGAGTCACAACTCTAGTACCGCCCCTCATAAAAAGAAAACACTTGCATTTTTGTTAAAAATGTCACCATCCTCCCGTTTTTGTGCATTTAAATATGATTTGAATCTATGGTTCCTCTTCTTTGCAGAAGAGGGGATTGACTCTAAATCATTATGTTAATACTAGGCAAGCACTCTACCATTAAGATCTATATCCTGGGACTGGGAAGGTGGCTCAGTGGTTGTGTTTGCCTTGCATATATGAGGCCCGGGGTTTGATTCCTCAGCACCACCTAAGCAGAAAAAGCCAGAGTGGCACTGTGGCTCAAGTGGTAGAGTGCTAGCTTTGGGACAGCGCCCAGGCCCAGAGTTCAAGCCCCATGACTGAGGGGTGGGGTGGAATATATATCCCTAGCTGGACGCCAGTGGCTCACGCCTGTAATCCTAACTATACAAAGGCTAAGATCTGAGGATCTTGGTTCAAAACTGAAGTGGTGCTGTGGCTCAAAGTGGTAGAGCAGCTGGGAAGGTGGCTCAGTGGTAGAGTGCTTGCCTTGCAATTCCTCAACACCACATAAAGCAAAAAGAAAAAAGTGGGAAGTGGCACTGTGTCTCAAGTGGTAGAGCACTAGCCTTGCAATGGAGCTCAAATCTACAGTTAAATCCCCAAATCTACAATTAAAAATACACAAGCCAAGGGCCAGTGACTAACCTCTGAATCCTAGCTCCTGGGAGGGTGAAAGTGGAAGGATCACAATTTGAGGCCAACCTGATCATGTGCTTGAAAGCCCTTCTCCACGAATAGCTGGGCCTGGTAGAGTGCACCTGTCCTCCGAGCTAGGATGAGATCGGGGAACATTATGGCTCCAGAAGAGCCTGAGAATAAAAGTCTTTTGAGACTTCATCTCAATGCAAAGAAGCTGGGTGTGGTGGTACCTGTCTCTCATCCCAGCTATGGTGAGAAGCAAATATTAGGATCATGGTGCCAGACCCTAACCTCAAAAATAGCGAGTTAAAGGGATGGAGGCATGGCTCAACAGTAGAGTACCTAACTAGCAAGCATGAAATCTTGAGTTTGGATCCCAGTAGTGCCAAAAAAATAAAACAAGTCAAGTCTTCAGTGGCAGTGTCTTCATGTAGTCTTGAGAACTTGAGGAACAAGTGCGTATCTGTGAAATATATTACTTGTGGAAACTAGGTAAAATTAACACTAGCTTTGAGAAACAAACAGCCCTTTTAAGGCGGGTGTCGGTGGTTCACGCCTGTAATCCTAGCTCCGCAGGAGGCTGAGATCTGAGGATTGTAGTTCAAAAGTAGCCTGGGCAGAAAAGTTCCCGTGAGACTCTTTATCTCCAATAAACTACTAAAAAAAAGTGGGAAGTGGCACTGTGGCTCAAGTGGTAAAGTGCTAGCACAAAGAGGCTCAGGGACCCCACTCAGGCCCAGAGTTCAAGCCCTAGGATGGGGGAGGGCGAACAAAAAAGAGCTCTTTTAAGGCATATGATCCACAATTCTTCTCTTGTTCCCCGCCATATACACAAATTACATAGAGACTCACAAACCCACTTTTACATAAGCATTACGCATTTGCTGTATTGAAAAGATTTTTAGTTCCAATACTAGCAGTACAGAGTTACAGAGAAAAAAAATATAAAGGCTACAGAGCATATTTTTAAAACTTATTTGCAGGTATGTTAAATATGGTATGTTATGTATTGGAGGAAAACGGGTACTTTTGTCTTTGAATTTACTACTGACAATTTTCTGTGAATAGTTCTGTGCTAAGCATTGATATGCTAGAAAGAAAGCAACTATTCATCCTGGCTTTTTGCCTTTTGGTAACGTATTTACACACAGGCCTCAATGTTGAGAAGATCGAGGACTAGGTAGAAAAACGTTTTACACCAAGTTTGTACGACAGAAATTTCTCAGCAGTCAAAGTAAAAGAAAACAAAAACATGCAAACCATACTTTTCTGAAAACACTAAACTTAAAGCAAGCAGCGAAGCACACAAATGCAGAATGAAAAGAGCCTTTTCCCCTTCAACCAAAAGTAGTTACATCCTTACTAATTTCACTAGGCGCTGTTCACTTTTCAAACAGGAGACGATTTTTTTTTCTTTAAAAAAAAAAAAAAAAACACAACAAAACTGTCCCAAGATTTCGCAGCTCTACGGCAGGTTTCAGAAAGTCTTCCACTCGGTGCTTCAGTAGCGCGGGGGTGAGTAGGACGGAGATCTGGACCTCGAGGTGTACCTGCCGTGGGTGTAGTAGGGAGAAGGTGACCGCCTTCTGTACACGGGCTCCCGGTCTTGGGCTCTCCACCCCCCGCCCCTGTACGATCTGCCGTAGTATTCTCTGCCGTAGTATTCTCGATCGTCAGAGCCGCGATCGTAGCCTCGGTCGTAATAATCCCAGCGCCGGTAGCCGCCATAGGTAGGTCTTCCCATGTAAATCCCCGGTGTTGGGGTATGCGGTCTCTTCGTGATGGAGAAATCCACTCTGATCCTCCGCCCGGCGAGCTCCATGCCGTTGGCGCGCTCTTTTGCCTCCTTGGCGTCGTCTACGCTTTCAAAATACACGAAGGCGAACCCTCTGGAACGCCCGGACTGCTGGTCGTACACCACGGACACGTCGGCGATGGCGCCGTACTTGGAGAACACCTCCCTCAGATCCCGCTCGGTGGTGTACAGGCTCAAGCCGAACACGCCCAGGCAACAGTTGGGGTCGGGGTCCTCCCGATTCCCGCCGTGGCGCCTCTGCGAGGACGGCGAGGGGGAGCGGCTGGGGCTGCGCCGTCTTCCGCGGTCTCGACTGTAGTCCCTGCCGCTGGATCGCTGGCGGGAGCGGGGCGGGGATCGCGACCTGGAGAACCGCCGCCGGGAGCCCCGCGGGCACCGGGGCCGGGACTGGGAGCGGGAGCGGGACCTGGCCGGGGAGCGGCCCGCGGCTTTCCGGGGGGCCGGGGCGCTTCCACTTCCGGAAGCCGAGCGGGATTCCCGCTCGTCGTCGTCGAACATCCGCTCTCCGCTGTCGCTCATGACTCCGGCCCGCCCTCGTCGCCGCTCGCCGGGCTTCAAGCCTGCAAAAACACGTCGGTCACAGTGTTTATAACCATCTTCCCCTCGGGCATGGGGACAAGTAATCGTCGGACGGGGGCCAGAGGAGGAAAGGTTAATCGCGCTCACGGTTTCAGGCCATCATGGCGGGGAGCGCCCCTGGGAGCAGCTACCGTCACGCCAGACAGGAAGCAGACGAGGCTTAACAGGAAGGACTCAGGACCATATATAGTCCACGAGGCCACGCCCACGTGACTCGCCTCCTCCAATCAAACCCCAGCTTCCTTAGTCCCACCACCGCCTGAGTTTATGCAAATTTGGGATCCTGGGCTGGGGGCGTGGCTAATGTGGCAGACGGCTTCCCCAGAGACCAGGCCCCAGGACTACCACCAAAATGCAAAACAAAACCAATAAAGACTGTGAACCATCCATGGATTAGTCACTTGTTAGATCTGGGTCTTCAGGAGCCAATCCAGTTAGCAAAGGCCTTCTCAGACAACAACAGACGTATGCTCTGCTGGGCTGAGAATGTGGCTGAGTGGTAGAGTGCTTGCCTAGCATGCATGAAGTCCAGGGTTCGATTCCTCAGTACTACACACACAGAAAAAGCCAGAAGTAGCGCTGTGGTTCAAGTGCTAGCCTTGAGCTTCCCGAAACTCAGGGACAAGTGCCCAGGCCCTGAGTTCAAGCCCCAGGACTGGCAAAAGAAAAGTAAAAACATCTAAGTAGGCTCTCCTAAGCTTTTCAATCCAATTAAGTAGGCAACATTAACCATCACAATTTTTTCTGTTGCTGTAACCAGGGCTGTGGGAGCAGCCCAGTGGTAGGGTACTGGCCCTGGATTCCCTCCTCAGCCCTGAGACAGTAAAAACTACAATAAAAAAATCCTAAAACGGGGCTGGGAAGGTGGCTCAGTGGTAGAGCACTTGCCTTGGATGCATGAGGCCCTGGGTTCGATTCTTCAGCACCACATAAGCAAAAAGAAAAAAGCCGGAAGTGGTGCTGTGGCTCAAGTGGTAGAGCGCTAGCCTTGAGTGAAGAACAGCGCCCAGGCCCAGAGTTCAGGGCCCAGGACGGACACCCCCCCCCCCCAAAAAAGAATCCTAAAACTAGATCATTTATAAACAATTTATGTGTCATATTCTAGAGCCTTAGAAGAGACAACACTTTTAACCAAGAGATAACTCCAAGAGGAAAAAGTGAGAGTATGTGTGTACATATACTTCACACAGTCTAGTAACTTTTACTCTTTAGTACGTGGAGATTGAGTCACACCAACTTAAAAGATGTATGTTCCCTCCCTCCCCCCATATACTGGCTGGAGGTTGGAACGGAAGGCCTCAGGAGTTCTAACTTTGCCCCCCCCCCTTTTTTTGATTGGTTGTGCAGCTTCAACACAAGGCCTGGGTGCTGTCCTGAGCACTTTTTGCTCAAGGCTAGCACTCCACCACTTCGAACCACAGCACCACTTCCGGTTTTCTGGTGTTCACTGGAGATTCTCACGGACTTTCCTGCCCTGGCTGGCTTTGAACCACGATCCTCAGATCTCAGCCTCTTGAGTAGGTGGGATTACAGGTGTGAGCCACCGGTGGTCGGCTCTTTCGGTTTGTTTTTAGATTAAGGCTTTGGGAATTCTGCCAGGGCTAGCTTCAAATTCCGATCTCCTGCCTGTGGCTGCCCTACTGAGAGGTGCATTTCCTTTAAAGCACCACCTGCTACGGGCCACTCCCATGTTATTAGATGCAGAGGGTTTTGCCCTTTTTTGGGGGGGGGGGGGGACAGAGAGTGTCCTGGCACTTGAACTCAGGGCCTGGGCTCTCTATCACTTGGGCCTCTTCATGCACTTTCCTGCCTAGGTTGGCTTTGAACTCTATTCTCAGATCTCAGCCTCTAGGGTGCGTAGCTAGGATTATAGGATTACGGTGTGAGCTACTGGCACGCAGCAGGCTTTGTTTTTGTTGTTTCCTTTCCTTTCTTGCGCCGACCCCTGGGCTACAGACTCAGGGCCTGGGTGCTGTTCCCGAACTTCTTTTGCTAAAGGCCGGCCCCCTACCCTTGGAGCCACAGCTCTACTTCCGGCTTTGGGGGCCCGTTTACTGGAGACGAGTAGTCCCAGCTGAGGGCGAGGGCTGCGGCCCGCCCCGCCAGGCCCAAGTTTGCCCTGCACGTGATCTTCACACAGCAGAGCACAGAATCCATTTTGTTCGCCGTCTCGCGTCCGCTCCGCTCCGCACCTCTTTGTTGTTGCGGGCATCCGAGGGAGGGGCGGCGCGGGGGCTTGAACCCGGGGCCTGGCTGGCTCGGGCGCGCGGCACGGCCTGCGCCAGGCCTCCGGGGCCCTCCGGGGCTCCCGGCGGGCTCCTCCCACCGCCGTGGACGGCGGGGCGTGCGCGGCGCCCGGGCCGGCGGACCCCCCCCCCGCCCCGCCGAGCGCCGCCCACCACGCCGCGCGCCCGCGGCTTCCCGCCTCGCCCGGCCGAGGCCGGCGGCGGCCAGGCCCCGCGCCCCGCGCCCGCGCCCCGCGCCCCGCGCCCGCGCCCCGCGCCCGCGCCCCGCGCCCCGCGCCCGCGCCCGCGCCCGCGCCCCGCGCCCGCGCCCGCGCCCCGCCCCGGGGGCCCGGCGAGCGGGCCGGGGCCCGGGCGGGCGCCGGGCCGGACGCGCCTTTGTCCCGGCGGAGCCGCTCCCGCTCGGGCCCGCGCGGGCGGCCGGGGCCGGGGCCGCTTCCCATCCACTCACTTGCTTCACAGAACTGTGCACGCCGACGGCCTCAAGTCCGAAACTCCGTGGAAGTGGAGGGGAAACTCCACCCCAGCCCCGGCCTTTCCTGTTCCGGTCTTCTCGGAAGACGAGGAGCTCAGCCGGGGAGGAAGCCCGCTGCCTCAGTTTCCCCAAGAGCACGAGCACGAGTTTGCGCCTTTTCGTGCCGGGCCGCAGGCAAAGTCTCAACTACCCACGGCGGCGCCCCGCCCGCTCGGCCTACTGATTGACAGTCGGCTTGACCAATCGGAGCACCGCTGGTCAGAGCGGTGGGGGGGCCTTCCGGACGCATGCGCCGTGGCCTTGTTCCGGAGATGGGAGGCTTCCGGGTGTGGGGCCGGCTCTCCGGGGGCTGGCGCCGGGGGCCGGGGGTCTGCGCGCGGCTCCGGCACGCGAGCTTCGGCACCCGGGCCCGGTAATCACCGCCGCCCCGGCCTTGGCGAGGGGGGCGGGCCGGGTCCCCACCCTGCCGTGCCGCGCGCCCCGCGCTGCGTCGTGGGGCCCCGAGTTCCGAGAGCCCCGGGCGGGCGGCCTGGGCGGGGTCCGGGCCGGCGGACACCGCGGCCCCATGGTTGCTCCGTCCACCTCTTCCAGGCGGCAGCCGCAGCCTCGGGACGCGGACCCCGCGGGGGCCCCGGGCTGGCCGCGGCCGGGCGGCCTCGGGCGGGAGGAGCTGCTGCACGCGCTGCGGGCGGCCCTGCTGCGCCGGGAAGGTGAGGGGCCCCGGGCCGGAGCCCCGCCGCCGCCGGGCCACGCGTCGCCTCGGGGCTCTGGGAACTAGCGATCTCTGCTGGGAGACGCTGTGGTGGCGAGGCACTCACCGGGGACTCAGACCTCTCGGTGGCATTCCAAGACACTAAGGAGCCTAAGCCCTGCGAGACGTAGGACAGCAAGTGCAAAGGCCCTGCGGTGGCAGTGAGCCGGGCTTATGTGAGGAGAGGTGTCCAGTGGGTTTACGCGAGGTTGGGGTTCACTGTGGGGTCACGTGCTGAGCTGCGTGGGAAGGTGCTTTGTAAACTCGCGATTACTGTTGGCTTTTGCTGATGTTTGTGTAATATGTTTCAGGGCCTCTAGTGACATTGAACAAGCCAGCGGGGCTGCCCGTGTCAGGTAGGGGGTGTTGGGAGGTAATGAATGAGAGATGATGTCTCCAAGGGAGGGGTGGGGTGGGGATGAAGCTCTTTTTCCTCTTCTGTAGGAAAGCCAGGAGAGCTGACGTTGCAGTCGGTGCTGCCCGAACTGAGCCAGTCCCTGGGTACTGGGGAGCTCCACTTGGTGCGAGCACCTGGGAAGTGAGTGATGAGGGGGAATGTAGAAAATTCATCGTGGAGCGCCTGCCCGTGGCACACACTTGGCAATCGGCGCTCCCTGGGGGCCAGGGCAAAATAAATAGAATGAACTACCCAACCTTGTTGGCTCAGGCGGGGAAACCTTGTTTCTCAGGTCTGTATTACGGCTGTGGCATTACTGTTTGGTCTTGAGTGGAACAGTATTCCTTCTAAGGGGTGTTTTTGTGGGATTGGAGTTTAGGGCCTCGTGCTCCTGCTTGGCTTTCTCAAGTCTGGAGCTCTACCACTTGAGCCACATCTCCACGTCCAGCTTTTTTGCTAGCCAACTGGAGATGGAGTCTTTTCTGTCTGGGGTGGCTTTGAACCAGGATCCTCGGATCTCTGCTTCTCAAATAGGCTCACAGGTGTAAGCCACCAGCATGCAGCGCCTAGGGGTCCCATTTTGTGAGTGGGCCCACGCACTTTGTGTGATTTGTCCCTTCTTCCAGGGAGCCCTCCGGGCTTGTAGTACTCTCCAGTTGTCCCCAGACAGCAAGCCACCTGCAGAAGTTCTTTATCCACTGTAGGAGGGCCCAGAGGCCCACAGCTACCTACTGGTGAGCGGAGTTCGGGAGGCTGTGGGGGCAGCGGGGAGTGGGGGTCCCGTGGGCCACCCTGTCACGTCTCGTACCCTTTCTCAGTGCTGTCACTGATGGCATCCCGAGCCACTCTGAGGGGAAGATTCGCGTGGCCCTGGCCCTGGCACACACTAATGGCATCAGCCAGGTGAGTCGGGCGGGGAAGGGGGCTCTCCAATTCTGCCACCTTCCAGAGGAGTCTGGGGAGGGAGATGGGGGGAGAGTGGCCCCCTGGGCCGGGGAGAGTGGCCTCCTGGGCCGTCTTGCGGGTGCAGCTCTCAGGTGCGTAGGAACCTTGTTCAGGCTTGGCTGGCCCCACAGGGTGTTCCTGTCAAGTGCCCATCCCGAAAGGACATCACGGAAGGCGTCAGGAGGACCCTCAGCCACTTCCGTGTCATGGCCGCGGGCTCCGGCTGTGCCCTGGTGCAGCTGCAGCCACTGACAGGTGGGCTGGAGCTCTGGCCGGCTTTGGGGCCCCGGTGGGAATGAGGACTGTCCTCCCGGTAGTTCAGCCAGCGCCACGATCTCACCCTCCTGCCTGCCCCATGCCCTCACTGCCCTTGTGCTTGGGGGAGGGGGAGGGACTCCCCAGGGGAGGGGGGGAGAGGCTGTCCGCCACGTCCCGTCTTCTTCGTCCAGCGTTTCCCGATCAGCTGCAGGTACACATGGTGCTGCAGCTCTGCCCGGTGCTTGGGGACCACACGTACGCCGCGCGAGTGGGCACCGTCCTCGGCCAGCGCTTCCTCCTGCCAGCTGAGAATGCCAAGCCCCGGAGACAGGTGCCCAGGCCCATGCGCCTGCTTCCTTCCAGCATGGGGTGTGGTCCGGGTGCCCTCCTGGCTTCCTGCGCTCACTCCCCCTGTCTAGCTGTGTGGCTTGGGCCCGTCCTGCCCACGTGGCAAGTGGGAGCCCTGAAGCAGAGGGACTTCCAACAGCCCTCCCTACGCTCGCCCCCTCAAGTCTGGGGTGTGTGGTAGGGTATTTCTCAATGCCCTGACCTTGAGCCCAAAGTACCGAGGTGCGCCCCCCCACCCCCCCGCATGCAGTGTGATGAGTGGGAGAGGGTAGGGGCGGGCAGCCACGCAGGGACCCCGCCAGTTGAGAGGGCACGCTCTGTGGATGAAGATTTCACCTGCTGACACCGCCATCCCGGGACTACAGGTGTCATCCCATGAACTTGTCCAGTGGCAAGAAGGGCTGGACATGGTGTTTAGCTGTGTGGCCAGGAGGAAAGTGGTTTGGGAAGTTCCCAGCAAGCATCTGCTGCTGTGTGGGAATTAGTGTGCTCAGCCATGGGGTGTGTGTGTGTATGTGTACAAGACAGCTGCACACAGGGAGAGGGGCTGGCCTCAATTCCCCTCCGCGCTCCATCTGGCTGCCTTGGTTCTTCCGTTCAGGTCTTGGGTGACGCTCTGCTCCGCCGCCTCCGCCTCCCTCCCTCCCAGGCTGCCCAGCTGCCTCTGCACCTCCACCTGCACCGCCTTCTCCTCCCAGGCACCAGCTCCGCGGGCGCTCCTGCCGAGCTCCTGGCTCCCCTGCCCCCCTATTTCTCCAGGACTCTGCAGTGCCTCGGGCTCCCCGAGCCGTAGCCTTTCCACTGGTTCACTGTGTGGCGCTGGGCAAGTGGCTTCTCTGTGGACTTGAAATAATAAAAACTCCTACCTCAGGCTCTGCTTTGGCGGATTTGCTGGTAAAACAGATACTTTCCGTGGCCTGTGGTTTGCTCAGTTGTATTTGGTGGCTTCCTTTGAAAGCTGACCATTTTAATCATTTCCCCCCCCTCCTTTTGGTGCCAGTCCTGGGGCTTGAATTTGGAGTCTGGGTACTGAGTTTTGTTGCTCAAGGCTAGTGCTTTACTACTTGAGCTTTTTTTTTTTAACCACTTTTGTTTTTTTTGGTGTTTCCTTGGGGATGTGTCTTATGGACTGTCTGGCCCTAGCTGGCTTTTTGAAATGTGACCTTCAGATCTCAGCCTCATGAGTAGAATTATAGTCATGAACCACCAGTGCCCAGCTCATTTTTTCTTCTTATTACATTGCCTTGGCTGGCTTCCACTCCTGGGCTCAAGAAGCGTTACTGCAGGAGTGCATTACACTGCTGGCCTCTGTGGAATTAAGTACACTTAGATGGTGATTTTCCAATGTGCCGCCAGCTCCACGGCCACCTCCTGAACTGCTTCCATCTTCCACAGCTGATTTCACACCCACAAGTCCTTATAGCCTGACTCGACATTTCCCACCCCCACATGACATTCTGGTTTTATCTCAAATTGACTAGGTTCACCATCTAAGTGAGATACTTATATTTTACTTTAAAAAATTGAAATAGGGCTGGGTGCCAGGGGCTCATGCCTGTTAGCTACTCAGTCGGCTGAGATCTGATGATCCTGGTTCAAAGCCAGCCTGGGCCAGAAAGTCCATGAGACTTAACCTCAAATTAGCTACCAGAGCTGGGCACCAGTGGTTCACGTCCGTAATCCTAGCTACTCAGGAGGCTGAGATCTGAGGATCGCGGTTCAAAACCAGCCCGGGCAGGAAAGTCTGTGAAACTCTTATCTCCAGTAAACCACTAGAAAACTGGAAGTGGTGCTGTGGCTCAAGCGGTAGAGTGCTCACCTTGAGCTGAAGAGCTGAGGGACAGCGCTCAGGCTCAGTATAAAAGCCCATGACCAACAAAAAAAAAAAAACATACTACCTGAGCTACACCTACAAGCTTATCAGTATTTTTATTTTTGTTGGTCATGGGGCTTGAGCTGGGCTTGGGTGCTTTCTCTGGCTCTTCAGCTCAAGGCGAGCGCTCTAGCAATTGAGCCACAGCGCCACTTCTGATTTTCTGGTGGTTCATTGGAGATGAGTCTCACGGACTTTCCTGCCAAGACTGGCTTTGAACCACAATCCTCAGATCTTGACCTCCTAGGTAGCTAGAATTAATAGGTGTGAACTACTGGTATCCAGCTTCTACCAGTCTTTCTGACAATGCACCCAGGATATTTCTGTTTACCATGTCATGAGAGAAGGCTTTTTTTTTCTTCCAGTGCTGGGGATCAAACCCCAGGCCTCAAACATGCTAGGCAAGCACTCTGCCACTGAACCACACTGCCAGCATATTTGGAGGTTGGGCAGTACTACTGGGGTTTGGACTTGGCTTCAAGCTTGCTAGGCAGGTGCTTTGCTTCATAAGCCATTATAGCAGGCTCTTTTGCTCTAGAGGGTCTTAACTTTTGGCCTGGGGTAGTGTGGATCATGAGCCTCCTGTCTTTGCTTCCTGCGGTAGCTAACACAGAGGCCTGTGCCACTCTCTCCAGCTTTTTCTGTTCTAGTCAGGTCTCAACCTTTTTGCCTGTGCTGGCCTAGAACCATGGTGTTCCCCAGTCTTTGCTTCCTGAGTTGTTAGGGTTACACGTGTGGGCTGCCAACACAGCCCTGCTCTGCTTTGTAAGTTTTACCACATAGATAAGCACCCCTGTGACCAGCTTTGCTAATACATTCATTTCCATAAACTGCGGGAAAGACCTAGTACAACCTGAGTGGCTTAGAACAACAGAAGCAGCCGGGCGCCGGTGGCTCACGCCTGTCATCCTAGCTACCCAGGAGGCTGAGACCTGAGGATCGTGGTTCAAACCCTCCTAGGCAGGGAAGTCCCCAATTTTTTTTTTTTGGGGGGGGGGCTGGTCGTGGGGCCTGAACTCTGGGCCTGGGTGCTGTCCCTCAGCTCTTCAGCTCAAGGCTAGTGCTCTATTACTTGAGCCACAGCGCCACTCCCAGCTTTTTCTGTTTATGTGGTGCTGAGGAATCGAACCCAGGGCCTCAGGCATGCAAGGCGAGTGCTCTACCCCTGAGCCACCGTCCCAGCCCTCCCAGAGATTCTTATCTCCATTTAACCTCCAGAAAACTGAAAGTGGGGTTATTGTTCAAGTGGTAGAGTGCTCACCTTGAGCTGAAGAGTCGAGTGACAGTGCCCAAGTCCCACTACCAACAAAAAAAAAAACAAACAGTTTTCACAGTTTGGGAGGCCTGAAGTCCAAAACCAAGGTGACAGTAGTGGTCCCCTCGGAGGGCTCCGGGTTCTCTGTGCAGCTGTCCATTGGCTGCTGGGGATGGAATGCAGGCCTTCCTGCATGCTAAGTGGTTCACCATTGAGCCACTCTCCCAGTCCCTCTGCCTTGACAATGTATCATCCTAAGGGGCTGAGTCACTAAGTTGAAGCCTCAATACTAGCACAAAGAAAAGAATCACTTTCACCTTTGTGCTGTTTTTCCCCACCATGTCACCCTCCTTTAAAAAATGTTATATAATTTACATTTTATACATATGTGTATATATATATATATATATGAGACCTTGCTCTATAGCTTATATTGACAAACCCAGGAAGTTGCCTCAGCCTCCCAAGCTCTGGGATAACAAGAGTGTGCTGTGGGGCTGGGACTGTGGCTCTGTGGTAGAGTCCTTACCTAGCATGCATGAAGCCCTGGGTTCCATTCCTCAGTACCATATACACAGAAAAAGCAGGAAATGGCACTGTGGCTCAAATGGTAGAGTGCTAGCCTTGAGCAAAAAAAAAACAAAAACCAGAATGCACCACCACACCTGGCTGTGCTGTTTTTAAAAGACAAGCCCCCCTGGGAAGGGTGCGGAAGTGCAAAGCCCCGCTCCTGTGGAGGATGAGAAGCCCAAGTCGAGGCTGGGGGCATGGCTCAAGGCCTGCTGAGCAAGAGTGAGGCCTGAATTCAAACCACAGAACCACCAAAAAGGAAGTCAAAAGTGACGGTACAGACCTTATTGAAATCACTGGAGGGCTGGCAGTGTCCCATCATCTTCAGCACTGCACAGTAAATCACTGCATGGATTTGTCTGCTTAGCCTCCCCTCAGAATTTAGCCGCTTCATTAACTTCTCTGTCCAGTATTGGAAGAGACTGCGTCTTGAGCCTTCCTTCATGTAGGTCCCCGGCCACATCAGACTCACTTTAAATAAATGTGTATGCTTTCTATACAGTTAATCTCTACTCATTTCATTCCCAGCCCTCCAAGGTCTGGATCTCCTCTGTCATCTTCAGTGACTAACACTGGTGTCATTAGACTTAAGACCCACACAGATAATCCAGAACCGTCTCATTTTGAGATGTCAATTTAATAATACCTGCACAACATCTTCCATGTAAAGACATACTTCATGGGTTGCAGGTCGTTTTTAGAGGACCACCATCCCACACACCACACTAGGGAAGGTCAGACTTCTCAAGGCTGTGGCTCATTGGAGATTCTACTCTTAGGTGGCTTTTGATCCCTTCTGAAGAAGGGACAGGCCTGTCCCCTCTGTACACTGACATCTCTTTTCCCTTTCTGTGTCATTCCTGTGTCCACCAGGTGTCACCCTGCCAGCCCTGCCCGGCCGGGGCTGGGGATCCTGGTGTACAGCGGTTGTGACCGCATGTGCCTTGCCTTCCACTTGCTGCCCCATGATTTTGGGCAACCCACGTCACCTTTTCCAGACTTGCATTCCACATCTACATAGTGAAGGTCCTCCCGTCCCCCTGTCCCCCGGTGTCCTGTCCAGGAAGCCGTGTCTGCCTGTGGGTAGGGGCTTTGCGCCTCGCTGCATGGGAGAGTCGTCTGCCCCTTGGAGTGGAGGGGCCTCCCCCGTTCGCTCTTCATCCTCCACCAGCAGTGGAGCCAAGCCTGGAATACATTATTCACTGCTTTTTATTTGGGGCTAGACCCAGGACAGGGGCAGGGGGGTTCGGAGCAGGAGTTTCTCAGGCTACGGAATGCAAAAGTAAGGGGTACAAATACAGGGAGGCTCAGCCTCTCCATGGGGTATGCCTCAGCCTTGGAGCTGTCGCAGAGTCTGGCCTTGAACTTGCCTTTGGACTTGACCTTCCTGTGGTTGCTAGGAAGAGGTCCAACTTCAAAGGACAGAGGCCATGTGGCACTTCCACAATGGGGGGCTTGAAGGCGCTGAGGACCACCAGCCTCGGTGTGAAAGAAGGGGGAGAGGGAGAGATGATCAGGAATCTGTCTCCAGAGGGGGAGTGTGGCAGAGTCCGCGGCTGCCTGGGGGAGGCCCCCCCTGCTCTCCTGTCCCAGTGCTCAGCGCTACCCGCCCCCCTCCCTGGGGTGTGAGTCAGTTCAAGGCCCACCTTTCTTGGCTTCAGGATGCTGGGTGTCACCTTGAGGTCAGGGGCAGGTGGGAAGGACATCAGAACCTTGGCTGTGGGTAGAGTCATCAAGGACTTGCCTGTAGTCGAAAGGACCTTAGAGCCCACCAGCTTGCTGTGCTGCAGCCTGAGGACCCGGCCCTGGGGTCGGAGCACACAGGGGGAAGGCAGCTGGGCCTTGGTGTGGAGGCTGGGGAGGTGGGAGGGGGCTGTGGGAGCAAGGGAATCTGTGAGGGCCTGGTGGAGGGCCAAAGGCTGACCAGCAGCCCCACAAGGTGAAGCAGAGGGTGGGGCAAGACAGAGCAGGGTGGGAGCCAGTGCGGCCTTCCCGCCTCCTCCAGAGGGAGGAACAGAGGGTTTGGAATCCAACAGACCTGGGTCTGCGTCTCTGGATGGTCCTTTCTGAGCTGTGCAACCTGGGACAACTTCCTCACACTTCCCGCTATCTTGGCTGGAAAATGGGGACAAAAGTAGCCTTACTGGGCGGTGGTGAGGGCTACCGGAGCTGCTGAGTGCAGTTCGGGGCTGTAGGAGTCATGTCCTCCAGAGACCGCTGTCCAGGGAGGCAGAGACAGAGCGGAGCGGCAGCAAAGGCCTGGACTCCACCCTGGGGCTGGACCCTGCCATCTTGCAGAACAACTGCCAGCAGTCCCTCTGCCTGGGGGACAGCTTTGGAGGGGACAAAATGCATTTGGCAATAAACCTAAAAGTACTTTGTGAGCAAGAGCTTTTACTTGCTACGGGGGGTCTTTCGCAGGAGGGCAAATCCGGTTATAGGAGGGTATCTGAGGGGAATGATCTAACCCAGGGGCTGGGTTTGTTCAGATGATCAGCAGGTAGGGTTGCCTGTGCCCGCTGGCAAAGGTTACGGGTGAAATCGTGCCCTGCCCTGGTGCCGGGAGGGTTTCCACTTGCGGAGGGCAGGGCAGACCCGGACTGTGGCACTTTTTGCCTTGCCTTTCTTCCCCTTTCTGGGGACTGAAGTGGTAGCAGTGGAACTTGGCTTCTCAATGTGCCCCAGGCTCCTGGCCCCAGCAATTTTCCTAGAAGCTGACCTGTGGGTAAGGGTCCCTGAATCCTTGCCTTCTCCAAGGCTTTGCTGGGTCAGCAGATGAGGGAGTGCTGGCCGGGTCCCCGACCGCCGATGATACATTGCTAACGGCTTCTTGATGGTGGAGCCTTCCACCACCAACTGGATGCCCACATACTGGGGCACCTCCACGGCAGGCTGCGGGGAAGAGACAAGGCCCACTCAGACAGTGCCCATCCACTCTGGGTCTGGCAGGACTCGGCACGGGTGGATGAGTCAATTCCCAGTGATGAGGATGTTACCTTGCTATTGGATGAGACAGGCCAAAGAGCCATTTCTAGGCTGGGGAAGAAAGCCCGCCTCCATCCTCTAAGGAAACTACTAGAGTCTCACAGGGCATAGGGATTGATGGCCCAGAGGAGCAGGCAACTCCAGCCGTGCCGGAGCAAGCACCACGCCATCATCTCCTTGGGTGCAAGGCAGCTCAATGGGAGAATGACTGCCTAGACTAGGTCAGGCCCTGGGCTAAGCTCCCCATACCACAAAAACAAGCCAGCAAGCCAACTGGGCTGAGAAGGTGCCTTCTGGCAGAGCGCTCGCCTAGCACGCATGAAGCCCTGGCTTCCATTCCGCAGCACCATATACACAGAAAAAAAGCCGGAAGTGGCTCTGTGACTCAAGTGGTAGAGTGCTAGCTTTGAGCAAAAGAAGCTCAGGGACAGTGCCCAGGCCCTGAGTTCAAGCCCCAGGACTGGCAAAAGAAAAAAAAAAAACAAAAAACAGGCGCCGGTGGCTCATGCCGGTAGTTCTAGCTACTCAGGAGACTGAGATCTGAGGATCACAGTTCAAAGCCCAGGACTAGTACACACACACACACACACACACACACACACACACACACACACACACAGTTCAAAGCCCAGGACTAGTACACACACATACACACACACACACACACATACAGAGGAGGAACAGGATGGAACCCAGAACCTAGTGCATTCTAGGCATGCGCAATTCTGTACCTCCTACCCCAGCCCCAGCGCCTCCAGGTCCTGTGCCACACCTCAGGACTCTGGCAACAAGGCCAGTCGATGCAGCGCTTTCACTCTGCACCTCTACAACGTGAACCAAAAAAATGAATCCCTCCTCTTCTTTTTTTTTTTTTTTTTAACTTTTTGCCAGTTCTGGTCCGATTGTGGGGCCTGAACTCTGGGCCTGGGCGCTGTCCCTCAGCTCTTCAGCTCAAGGCTAGCGCTCTACCACTTGAGCCACAGCACCACTTCCGGCTTTTTTCTGTTTGCTTATGTGGTGCTGAGGAATCGAACCCAGGGCCTCAGGCATGCAAGGCAAGCACTCTACCACTGAGCCACCTTCCCAGCTACTAGTTCTGGGTCTTGAACTCAGGGCCTGGGCACTGTTCCAGAGTTTCTTTTTGCTCAAAGCCAGCGCTTGGGTTGGGAAGGTGGCTCAGTGGTAGAGTGCTTGCCTCACATGCATGAGGCCCTGGGTTTGATTCCTCAGTACCACACAAACAGAAAAAGCTGCAAGTGGTGCTGTGGCTCAAGTGGTAGAGCACTAGCCTTGAGCTGAAGAGCTGAGGGGCAGCGCCCAGGCCCAGAGTTCAAGCCCCACGACCGAGACACACAGAGACACAGACACACACACAGACACAGACACACACACACACACACACACACACACACACACACACACACACACACACACACACAAAGCTAGCACTCTATCACTTGAGCCACAGCACCACTTCCAGCCTTTTCTGTTTATGTGGTACTGAGGAATCAAACTCTGGGCTTCATGCATGCTAAGCAAGCACTCTACCACTAAACCATATTCCCAGCCCTAAACCTCTCTTCTTTATGAATTTTATGTCCCCCTCCACATGCTATCGTGTTATTAACAACAGAAAACAGGCTTCTACACAAATACATAATTGCAAAGGGGAGGTTGGAACGTCTAATGACCAGATCTGGTAGGAAACTACCTTAACCCACATCGCTGATAGTGCGACACTCACAGTATGTCATGAGGAACCCATAACACCTCTGAGGAGGGCTGGGAAGGTGGCTCAGTGGTAGAGCGCTGGCCTTGCATGCCTGAGGCCCTGGGTTCGATTCCTCAGCACCACATAAGCAAAAAGAAAAAAGCCGGAAGTGGCGCTGTGGCTCCAGTGGTAGAGCACTAGCCTTGAGCTGAGGAGCTGAGGGACAGCGCCCAGGCCCAGAGTTCAGGCCCCGCGACCAGACCCAAAAAAAAAAAACCCACCTCTGAGGTGTTTTTGCCAAAAGAGTGTTTAACCTGAACCTCATCAAGGTGTTTGACCTAACTTCTAGTTTACAGGGCATTCAGATAGCAGAAAAGCAAGTTAAATAACACCACAGGAAACAATCAGATAAATTCAAAATGTGGCACAGTTCTACAAAGCACAGTAGGTTCCTTCAAAAGATCAGAATGGGGAGAAAGCAATGGGGCTGTCCTAGATGAAGAGACCAGAGACAAAACCACCAATGAAGGTGTGGAGCTTCATTACACATTGGCCTAAAAACACCCAAACCAATCGCTAATGAAAGACATCTGGGAATATGAGGGAACAAAACACTTTTTCGGGGGGAGGGGTGTCGAGGGGCTTGAACTCAGGGCCTGGGTGCTGTCTCTGAACTTTTTTCCTCAAGGGTAGCGCTCTTTCACTTTGAACCATAACTTCACTTCTGAATTTCAGATGGTTCATTGGAGAATAGTCTCACTGACTTTGCTGCCTAGGCTGGCTTTGAACCATGATTCAGCCTCCTGAGTAGCTAGGATTACATGTATGAGCCACCAGCATAGGCCAACACATTTTGTGAAATCAAAATGCTGACATACTCATCTAAGACACAATCGGGAACGATAAATGAGGCCATTTAATTTATACCATTAGCATCTTCCCTCCCTGAACCCAAACCATGGCAGATCAGAATCTTAATCAGAAGATAATTAAATTGCCACAAAAAATTACTTCCCAGAGCTCAGAAAACCCTTAAAATCAAGTTTTTTTGGGGGGTGGGTCTGGTCGTGGGGCCTGAACTTTGGGCCTGGGTGCTGTCCCTCAGCTCTTCAGCTCAAGGCTATTGCTCTACCACTTGAGCCACAGCGCCACTTCTGGTTTTTTTTTTTCTTTATGTAGTGCTGAGGAATCGAACTCAGGGCCTCAGGCATGCAAGGCAAGCGCTCTACCACTGAGCCACCTTCCCAGCCCCTCTAATTTTTTTTTTTTTTTTTTCTTTTTGAGTGCTGATCCTCAGGCTTGAACTCCGGGCCTGAGCACTGTCCTTGAGCTTTTGTGCTTAAGGCAAGTGCTCTACCACTTGAGCTACAGTACTCCATTTCCAACTTGTTTTTTCGTAGTTAATTAGAGTTAAGAATCTCTTGGGTTGGCTTCAAATCACAGCCTCTAGAGTAGCAAAGATTACAGATGTGAGCCACCAGCATCCGGGCTTCAAGTCTCTGATTTTTAAAACTCTGACTTTATGCTATATTAGCAGACTCAAATCCCTTTATAGAGCAAGATGAATAAGACAAATACTACCACTACTACTGCTACTACTAATGCTACTACTACTACTACTACTGCTCCTCCTCCTTCTCCTCCTACTGCTACGACTACTGCTAGCAATTGCAGCCGCCACTTGGTAGTGTCTGATATTTCTCCAGACCATCCTAACCACCTGATTAATGACAATAGCTAAAACTTGTGCCACTTTCTCTGTGTGCCGGGCACTTCACTTAGATCAACTCTAATTCTCATACCCTAAGAACCAAGGTGTTAACTCTTGCTTTAAAGACAAGGAACAGGCCTAATCAGGGGATATGGCAAGACTAGGTTTTGAACTGAGTCTGATGGTCAAGCCCTGTGCTTTCTTTTTTTGGGGGGTAGGGGGAGTTTTTGGGTCTGGTCGTGGGGCCTGAACTCTGGGCCTGGGCGCTGTCCCTCAGCTCTTCAGCTTAAGGCTAGTGCTCTACCACTTGAGCCACAGCGCCACTTCCGGCTTTTTTTTCCTGCTTATGTGGTGCTGAGGAATCGAACCCAGGGCCTCAGGCATGCAAGGCAAGCGCTCTACCACTGAGCCACCTTCCCAGCCCGCCCTATGTTTTCTTATGGGGCTCCCCACAATGGACCTCCAGGCTCCTACTTGGGGCCCACCACCTCACCTGCTTATAGATGAGTTCGAATGCGCCTGTGTCACAGTTGCGGTCCAGCCGCCGGTCGATGACCACGCGCAGAGTGTCAGCTTGCACACCGGCACAGAGTCGGGCAGTGATGGCTGTGGAAGGTGCCATGGTGGGGCTAGCATTGATCTCGATCAGCCAGGGCTGGAAATCCTCACCGAACACAAAGTCTGCACCGTAGAGCTCGAAGCTCGCCTTCCGGCATTGCACTGTGTCCTGAGAGGTCTGAAGTACATGGATCACAGCAGCCTTCATTCCAGGTACAATGATATTAGACCAGGCTTTGGGGGCTCCCAGCTCCTGAAGGTGGTCCTGAAACCTCTGGCTGGACCACATGTTGTCGTCAGGCAGCATCGGATGCCGATGGCATGAGGTCTCCAGGTGTTTCTGGATGGAATTGTTACACAAATGCACAGAGCTAGGGTAGAGGAGAAAGCCAAGGCTCAGGTCTGGTGTCTTGCACCTAAGCTGGGCCTACCTGGTTCACACAACTGAGATGAGGCCCCTGGGAAGAGGCTTGAGTCTCACACTTTTCTTTCTTTTTTTTTTTTTGGCTGGTTGTGGGGCCTGAACTCTGGGCCTAGGCGCTGTCCCTCAGCTCTTCAGCTGAAGGCTAGCACTCTACCACTTGAGCCACAGGGCCACTTCCAGCTTTTTCTGCTTATGTGGTGCTGAGGAATTGAACCCAGGGCCTCATGCATACAAGGTAAGCACTCTACCACTGAGCCATCTTCCCAGCCCCAGTCCCACACTTTTCAAGAGCCAGAGTCAGTCATATCTCAGGACCACCGTGGGGCCTAGTCCAGCGAGCCTTCCCCTCCTTAGAAGGTGAGGTGAGCAAGATGCCTGTTCCAGTCCCACCCCTATTTGTGACAAGCTGGAAATTCTTCGGCAAGTCTTTTAACATGCATGCCCTTGACATCTGCAAACTGAAGGCAGCAGCAGAACTTGCCTCACTGTTTATTGTTTTTGTTTTTTTTTGTCGGTCATGGGGCTTGAACTCTGGGCCTGGGCGCTGTCCCTCAGCTCTTCAGCTCAAGGCAAGCGCTCTACCACTTGAGCTACAGCGCCACTTCTGGTTTTCTGGTGGTTTATTAGAGATAGGAGTCTCACGGTCTTTCCTGCCCGGGCTGGCTTTGAACCGCGATCCTCAGATCTCAGCCTCCTGAGTAGCTAGGATTACAGGCGTGAGCCACCAGCGCCCGGCTATTGTTTTTGTTTCTTTTCCTGCTCTGGGGCTTGAACTCAAGGCCTGGGCACTGTCCCTGAACTTCTTTTGCTCAAGGCTAGCATTTTACCACTCGAGCAACGGCGCCATTACCGGCTTTTTCTGATTATGTGGTACTGAGAAATTGAACCCAGGGCTTCATGCATGCTAGGCAAGCACTCGACCACTAAGCTACGTTCCCAGACCCTCACTGGGTTTTGTTTATTTTTGCCAGTCTTGGGGCTTGAACTCAGAGCGTGGGCACTGTGTCTGAGATTTTTTTTGTGTTTAAGGCTAGGGCTCTACCATTTAGCCACTTAGTTAACTGGAGATAAGAGACTCACAAACAAGCTGGGTGCCAGTAATGCTTGTAATTCTAACTACTCAGGCGGTTGAGATCTTAGGATTGTGGTGTGAAGCCAACCCAGAGAGGAAAGTCTGTGAGACTCATCTCCAATTAGCTACCAGAAAACTGGAAGTGGAGCTGTGGCTCAAGTGGTAGAGCGCTTGCCTTGAGTGAAAAAACTCAGGTATAGCACCTAGTCCCTAAGTTTAAGACCCACAACAAACCAAAAAGAAAAAAAAAATGTCTCATAGACTTTCCTGCCTGGGCTGGCTTTGAACCACAATCCTCTAATTGCAACCTTCTGAGGGGCTAGGGCTACAGGCACAAGCAAGCAGTGCCTGGTTTTCACTGGGTTATATGAAAAATGACTCAGGCATACTCAAATCACAATTATTGATAGCTACAGTGATGAGTGTCATATGACAGCCTCTACTCTCCACCTGTGGACACTGAGACCTAAGCAGGTTTTCACCTCTGCCAAGGTGCACACACAGTCTGGAAGCTACAGACCCAGGGCTCAACAAGGAAAGCTTAGTCCCCAGAGTTAACAACATATCTTGCCTTGCCTTTCTCTTCTTAAATTTCTCATGTGCTTTACTCAGCTCTATATTGGTTCTCATAATACAAATCACTTTTGTGTGTTTGTGTGTGTGGTGTGTTTATCTGTTATGGGGCCTGAACTCTGGGCCTGGTCGCTGTCCCTCAGCTCTTCAGCTCAAGGCTAGTGCTCTACCATTTAAACTGCAGCACCACTTCTAGCCTTTTCTGCTTATGTGGTGCTGAGGAATCAAACCCAGGGCCTCATGCATGTGAGGCAAGCAGTCTACCACTGAGCCACCTTCCCAGCCCCCCAAATCACCATTTAACATATTAGATTATTTGATGTGTTATGTTCTTTGCTTGTGTTTCCCCCTGCTTAGAATATGAGAGGTTTTTTCTGTTTGTGCCGGTCCTAGGGCTGAAACTCAGGGCATAGGCGCTGTTCCTGAGCTTTTCTGCTCGAGGCTGGCACTCTCCCACTTGAGTCACAGATTCACTTCCAGTTTTTTGGTGGTTAATGGAGTCTCATGGACTTTTCTGCCTGGGATGGTTTCAAACTGTGATTCTTAGATCTCAGCCTCCTGAGTAGCCTGGGTTACAGGTGTGAGCTACCCGCGCTTGGTAAATAAGCATTGGAGAACTGAGATCATGTTTTGGTCACCCCTATATCCCAAGGGCCTGGAACAGCGGTCAGCCTGGGATACTCTTGATAAGCCACAGGACCAAGGAAGGGTGGTGGATGGAGGCCTGCCTGCCTGCGAGTCTGTGTGTGCAATGCAGCTTTGCAGCAGTAATTTCCAGCCTATGGGGCTGCCTCCCCTGCTGGCCCCGATGCTCACTTGTCCAGGTTCTTGAGGGAGAAGGGCTGTGTGGAGAAGCGGATGTAACTGTCGCGATAGAACCACACGGTCAGTGGGTTCCAGTCAGTGACCAGGAACCACTGTCGCAGGTCAAACTTGGTGCCAAAGATGAGCAGAGGCCGCTCAATGTACTTCTGTACCACCCACTTGCCGTCCTTTATCATCAGGGAGTTGCTGTCCACCAGCTTCAGGATCTCCTCTAGGTGGTCCATGCACACAATACCTGCGGGACACAGACAGGCAGGAGCCAGGTCAGGCGGGGCTGGGAGAAGGGCCGGGGGACCATGGCTGCCCATCATAAGCTCTCACTCTCATGGAACTGAAAGGGTTCACTCATAACCACAACCCTCTTCCCCTTGCTAAGGACTTAAATTTTTTCTTTTCTTTTCTTTTTTTTTGTCGGTCGTGGGGCTTGAACTCTGGGCCTGGGCACTGTCCCTCAGCTCTTCAGCTCAAGGCTAGCGCTCTACCACTTGAGCCACAGCGCCACTTCCGGTTTTCTGTGGTTTATTGGAGATAGGAGTCTCACAGTCTTTCCTGCCCAGCTGGCTTTGAACTGCGATCCTCAGATCTCAGCCTCCTGAGTAGCTAGGATTACAGGCGTGAGCCACCAGCGCCCGGCTAAGGACTTAAATTTTTTTTCTAAGTAAATATGTTTGTTTGATTGAGAAGAAGTGTATGGACAAAATGTTACATAGAACAAGGGACTGGGGGTATGACTCAGTGGAAAGAGCACCTGCCAAACAAGTGCCACAAGTTCAAAACCTCAGTACACGGACAGAAAGACAGAAAGAAAGGCAGACAGAAAGAAAGACAGAAAGAAAGGCAGACAGAAAGAAAGAAAGAAAGACAGAAAGAAAGGCAGACAGAAAGGCAGACAGGCAGAAAGAAAGAAAGGAAGGAAGGAAGGAAGAAAGAAAGAAAGAAAGGAAGGAAGGAAGGAAGGAAGAAAGAAAGAAAGAAAGAAAGAAAGAAAGGAAGGAAGGAAGAAAGGAAGGAAGGAAGAAAGGAAGGAAGGAAGGAAGGAAGAAAGAAAGAAAGAAAGGAAGGAAGGAAGGAAGGAAGGAAGGAGAGAGAGAGGGACGGAGGGAGGAAAGAAAGAAAGAAAGAAAGGAAAGGAGGAAAGGAAGGAAGGAAGGCAAGGAAAGAAGGAAGGGAGGAAGGAAGAAAGGGAGGAAGGAAGAAAGGGAGGGAAAGAAGGAAAGAAAGAAAGAGGAAGAGGTGCTGTGGCTCAAGTGATAGAGTGCTTGAAGAGCTGAGGGACAGCTCCCAGGCCCAGAGTTCAAGTCTCACAACCAGTAAAAAAAAAGGGGGAGGTTAGGAAAGTGGCTCAGTGATTGAGCTTGCCCTGCATGCATAAAGCCCTAAGTTCAATTCCTTAGTACCACATAAGCAGAAAAAGCCAGAAGTGGCAGTGTGGCTCAAGTGGTAGAGCACTAGCCTAGAGCTGAAGAGCTAAGGGACAGTGCCCAGGCCCAGAGTCCAAGCCCCATGACTGACAAAAAAAAAAAAAGGAAAGAAAGAAAGAAAAAAAAGAAAAAGAAAGAAAAAAGAAAGACTGCGTACCCAGCATGGTAGCACTCATGTAACCCCAGCACTATGGACCTTTCTGCACTCTAGTGGGGGTGAACGTCATGGGTGCTGGTGTGGGAAGCAGGGACCGAGTCCTACCTCGTCCACGGGACTTGGCTCCTGGCTTCACAATCCAGATGTTGCGGTCCCCCTCCATGTCGATCTGGGGTACCAGAGCCTTTAGCTGCTGTAGGACATCCTCACAGCGCTGGACCTGAGTGTCCAGGTGTTTGAGTTGTGCGCCCTGGCTGGGAGGAGATGGTGATTTAGACAGAAGAGCCTGGGCGCAGGTGGGAGGCAGAGACAAGGGAGATGCAGGCTCCCCTGGTCAAGGTCCAACCAGTATTAATCATACCTTCCCCTCAAGATCCACTCCTGTTCCACCTCACACTACCTCATTTGTCCAGACTATGGGAGTGAGGAAGGTTGGGAAAATTCCATTTACTTCATATACACTCCCCATACCTCCAATCTTCTACCTCCTGCCAATCTTTGGTGGGATGCCTGTAGCTCACGCCTGTAATCCTAGATATTCAGAAGGCTAAGATCTGAGGACCATGGCCAAGTCCATGAGATTCTTATCTCCAATCAACCACCAAAAAGCCAGAAGTGAAGCTGTGGCTCAAGTGGTAGAGTGCCAGTCTTGAGAGAAAAAGCTATAGGACAGGGCCCCAGGCCCTGAATTCAAGTCCTAGTATCATCACAAAACAAAACAAAGACTCTGCCTTTGGCACAAGCCTGCAGTTCCTAGGGGACATCACTCTGCCAGGAGCTATGCCAAGGGTTTTCTGCTTTGTATCACAAATCCTCCCAACAGCTCTACTGGGGAAGCATGTGCATTCGGAAACTGAATGTGAAGAGTTAAGTGACTGACTGAGGTGGGAGCCAAATGTACCACTGCTTCTCCTACAGGGACCTCTGGGGGCTCCCCCTTCCTTCCTTCCTATTCTGGACTTAGCTGGTTGACTGGGGGGTCTCCTCTGGGTCTAATTCAAGCACATGCGGGCCAGCCTCTTCTGGCTTTCTCTTCCCATCTCTCAGCCTCAGCATATACCTACTGGGTCTCTGCCTGTTCCCCGCTCTCAGCGCTCTGCTATTGGTACTGGGCGTTGCACTGAGGGCCCCCAGGCTAGCACATGCACGGAGCCGCACCCCCCCTCCCCCCGGGAAGGCTTCTGTAGTTGCAGATCTGTGTAGTGTATACTTGCTGTGCTCCCACAGTTGGCTAACTGAATAAATGAGGGGCTAGGCGTGTACTCCAGCAGCCATCTACCTCAGCAACTGCTATCTAGACAGGGGTTCAGGGACAAAGGGGGACCCTGTTCACTACAGGATGGAAAATGTCAACTAAACCGAGTCACAACCACAGAGGGGTCAAACACTGCTGAATAGCTGGGAAAGCTCTACTGAAGGGGTGTTACCCTCTCCGTCACGTCTCAACCTCTCCAGTGTCTCCACCATGGAACACGCCCCCCCATCTTCTCGCTTTTTATGAGAGGGAACCCCAGGATCAGGGATAGCCAGATGGAGGGGGCTCAGCAGGGCCTCCTGGGAATACCCACACATGCACACTAAACAAGCCTCCCAATGATTCATGGCATTGACTATCTGCTCAGCTCACCTGATGGGCTCAGAGAGTGTTATGTGCGGTGCTGTAAGAGACAGGAATAGTCGAAAAAGTGGTGTGGTATTTTATACTTAGGAAAAAAGTTTTTGTGGAAAATGAACCTTTATGAAGACCTGGTTGACTAAGCATAGGCTTGTTTTTAAAAAGTAGAAGCTGGGCGCTGGTGGCTCATGCCTGTAAGTCTAGTTACTCCAGAGACTGAGAGCTAAGGATTATAGTTCAAAGTCAGCACGGGCAGGAAAGTCCATGAGACATCTCCAATAACTACTCAAAAAGTCAAAGTAGAGCTGTGGCTCAAGTGGTAGTGTTCTAACCTCGAGCAAATAAGCTCAGGGACAGTATTCAGGCCCTATGTTCACACCTTAGGACCAGCACCAAAAAAAAAAAAAAAAAAAAATGTAGAGAAACACAGTAGTAGTCAGTGAATTGCTAACTGCTGGTACTGAGCCATCCAACACTATGTGTGTGTCTTATGATGAAATATTTTATAGGTCTCTTCTGGTAGATTCTCTCAGCCTTCTAGAAGTTGCCTTCATAAAAAGGACTCATTAGCTGGGTACCAGTGGCTCATGGCTTCAATCAACTACTCAGGAGGCTGAGATCTAAGGATCATGGGTCAAAACCAGCCTAGGAAGAAAAATACAGGAGACTCATATCTTCCATGAGCTACAGAAAAAAGCCAGAAGTGGAGCTGTGGCTCAAGAAGTAAGATGCCAGCCTTGAATGAAAAAGCTAAGAGACAGTGCCAGGCCCTGAGTTCAAGCCCCAGGACTGCCAGAAAAAACAAATTTGTTTTAAGGAAAGAAATGAGGTGTGTGCTAGCTTGAGAGGCCACACTTGGTCCTCCTCCCACAGCTACTGCCCGGTCCGGTACTCACTGGACTACTTGGTAATAGCGATGGAGGAAGATAGACCAGCCCTCAGGGCTGAGATAGAGTGGAGCCTCCAGTTCCTTGTCAATGTCCTTGTGTGCCAGGATGCTAAGATGTTCCTCACATGCACACAGAGCTTCATCCACAAACTCGTAGGTCACTGGTAGCACCGGCTTTTTTTCCGATTTCTTAGGCTCCTTGTCTCCTGCAGAGATAGGGAGGGAGGGCCTCTCATTATTCCACACTGAGGCCAGGACGGTGACCTGAGCCACTCACCTGAGGCCTGCAACCCTAGAACGGCACCCTTGGCCCTCACTGGAGGCTCCACCCAAAGTCCCCAAGGTATCTTTGGCCCACAGGCCCAGCAGGCCTGTGGCTCCCAGCCCAGGACTGCTCACATGTCTGAGGTCCTGAGGTCCTAAAATGCGCCTGTAACCATGGCCTCGGTGAGCCTGGACAGACATGAAACCAAATCTGACCTGGCTTCTAACATCCCAACATACACCAGAAATCCAGACCCATCCAGAACCCTGACAAGACACTGATAATCCTTAAGCCACATAGCACTAACCTACATCTGTGCTGCTAGATCAGAAGCCCAGCAGATCCCTGAGAGTGACGCAGCAGACACCGCGCCCTCAAGGACTGGTGTGCATCGACGGCCTGACATTCTCCAGTGTCTACAGTAGTCCCAAACTTTATACAGCCAAGGCCCCGAAATCCCCTACCTCCCCACACACCAGAACCGCCACCTGAGAAGCCTAATTGCAGGGCCTGCAAACTGCAGGGCTCCTGAGCCTGGCACACAACAGTCTTCCTTGAAACCAACACCCTTAGGACAGGAGACGGAAGCAGGCAGAAACAGAGACAGTCTGCCTGAGGATTTTCCTCCTTCCCCCAGAGCTGCCCCTTCCGTCTCAGAACTCTGGTTGAAGAACTCTTAGATTACAACTCTTAGAGTTGCTTAGGAGCTAAGTGCAGAGAGAGAAAGGACAAGTCCCCATCATTCCCCATGTTCCTTGTGCTCAGGTGGAAGGGGTCCCCAGGACACCTGAAAGCTGTCAGCTTTCACTCCTCACAGACCAGAGATGAGCCATGTCTGCCCTGCCTAGGGTATGACTCATTCACATGCCAGGCCCCACCAGGGCTGAGGCACTAAGAAATGGATGGGAAGACAGGTGTGTGAGTGGCTGGGACAGAACGGATGTGTGGTCTGGGGGACCGACAGGTGGAAGTCAGGACAGAAACGTAGGTAGACGGACAGATGTATCTGTGGAAGGAGAGGTAGGATGATAGGAATGAACAGACTGAAAAAAGTGAATATGGAGGTAATTGTGGATGGAAGAAAGGACAGATGGATGGACAGATGGACTGGTCAGTAAGTAGGTGAATGAGCAGATGATTAACAGATGGGGCAGGTTGATGGAAAGGGTACTGACTGGTCATAGAGATGTGGACTATCCACAGGTGTGGGGAACAGCTGGTGGATGATGGGAGCATACAGGTGGGGGGTAGAGGGACCACAGCGCTCACCTGGGGCCTTTGCCTCCTCCTCCTGGCCAGAGCATGAGTTCCATTCAGACTTCACCACCAGCTTGAGAACGTTGCGGGCAGCTGTCAGCCAAAAGTCCTCTGCTCCCGAAGCAGGGGATATCCTGCTCAGCCCCTAGGCTAGAGGCCTGTCCTGGTTCTGGAACCTGATCATGACTTGCCCCACTTTGGATCTGGGACCTGACTCTACCCTGACTCTAGAACCCGGCTTCAGTCTCACTGTCAGACCCACCATGTGGCCAGATGTGACACATGGTCTGTCTGTCTTCAGAATCTGGCCTGGACCCATTTTCTCATTTCTTCTCATCCTCATCCACTTTTGAAACTTAAGTCTAGGAACCAGATCTTGGCCCAAAACCTACTCGGACTCGGAATATAATTTTAAACCTAGTATCGGATCTGGATTCCACTTCTGACGTGAGTTTAGAGCACATTCTGAAGTTAAAGCTTACTCTACTTTGGGAACCCATAGCCTGCAGCCTTTCCTAGGACCCCATCCAGCCAATGGGACTTACCCATGGCCTGGGACTTATTCTGGATTCCACACTGACTGAACCTCAGACTTTTAGAGCCTGCTCTACAATATATGCTAAACTTCCTAATCTTTACTGAAGGTCAATCAAGGAGGCTCATTGAGGGAGGCCAGGGCTGGGGAAAGGAAGGAAATCTGCAGGGAAGCTGAAGGCGTGGGGGGAGGCCTTGCTTTAGCCTCGCTCCTTCCATGTGAGAGGTCCTGGCCTGGGGTTAGGGTCTCCTTACCTATGAAGGCTTTTTTCTCATCTTCAGCCCCCAAGCGGTAGCAGCGTGGGAAGAAGGAATCAGCATCAGCCTCATCAAACCACAGCAAATTCCGAAGGTTGAGACACAAGCCGACCTATGGAGTTAGCTGCTAAGAGGGCTGGAAGGGGCAGGCCCAGAAAACTCAAAGGAAATCTCCCACACAGAACATAAGTCCAGAAGTCAGCAAGGCCCTGATTGGCTGTGTCCCCCATCTGTCCCCATGCTTGTCCGGGGCACCTCTCTACAGAGAATGGTCCTTATTTCAGCACCTAGCCTTTCATATCTGTAAAGATCTGCTTCCTTGGTTGGGAATGTGGCATACCAGCAGAGTGCTTGCCTAGCATGCATGAAGCCCTGGGTTCAATTCCTTAGTATCACAAAGAAAAATCCAGAAGTGGAGTGGTGCTGTGGCTCAAGTGGTAGAGTGCTGGTCTTGAGCAAAAGAAGCTCAGGAATAGTGCCTAGGCCCAGAGTTCAAGTCCCAGGACTGGCAAAAAAAAAAAAAAAAAAAGACCTGCTTCCTGCAGGAAGCCCTCCATGCCCACACCAGCAATATAATGACAGGCCCAATTATGCAGCCCTGCCACAACTTTAGAAGGGAGTCCTTCAAAGATGAGGAAAGTGAAGCGCAGAAAGGAGACACCATTTGCTAAGAAATACAGGTAAAGTGTGGGGCACCAGCAGCTCATGCCTATAATACTAGCTATTTAGGAGGCTGAGATCTGAGGATCACAGTTAAAAGCCAGCTCAGAAAGACAAATCTGAGACAGATATCTCCAATTAACCACCAAAAAGCCAGAAAGGGACCTGTGGTTCAAGTGGTAGGATGCCAGTCTTGAGCAGAAAAAGCTAAGGGAAAACATACAGGCTCTAAGTTCAAGTCCCAGTAATGGTATTAAAAGAAATGTACTCATTACCTGACTCATATAACTGTAACCTCTCTGTACATCACTTTTAGAATAAAATTTAAGTAATAAAAAAAGTAAGTTAGAATGAAGTTGTGGACACACATGGCAGGCCAGGACAACTTGGGTGCAGGGCTTGGCACCACCCAGATCACGTTGAATTTCATGTGTAACTTTTAAAATTTAACCTCAAAAATGAATTTTTAAATTCTTAGTTCTTTAATGTAGTTAACTTCTACGTTAAATACATTACATTTAATTTTTAAATTCTTTTGGAGACTGGTTGTTACTATGTAGCCCAAGCTATCTTTGAACTCCCAAACTTCCTACTTCAGCCTCCTGAGTGCTAGGAGTATGCCATTATACCCGATTTGAAACTTCTGGGAGTCAGCTAGCTCTGCTCTGCTCTGCCCAGGAGATAAGCAAGTGAGTTGAACCCATTCTCTATCTCCTTGCTCACAGTCATTTGATGTGGGTTTCTTTGTTCTCTTTCCTTCCTTCCTTCTCTTTCTTTCTTCCTTCCTTTCCTTCCTTCTTTGTCCTTTCTTCTTTCTGTCTTTTTTCCTTCCTTCCTTCCTTCCTTCCTTCCTTTCTTCTTCCTTCCTTCCTTCCTTTTCTTTCTTCCTTTCTTTCTTTCTTTCTCTCTCTCTCTCTCTCTCTTTCTTTCTTTCACCTACACATACTAGATAGATATTGTCTGTCTGAGTCTCACTGAATCCTACACCTCCTGTTCTCCTAGGAACTCTCTTACTGGAAGGAGAGCAAGGAGCGGGGCTGCCAGCCCAAGGTAGGTGTGTGTGTGTGTGTGTGTGTGTGTGTGTGTGTGTGTGTGTGTGTGTGTGTGTCTGTGTGTGTCTGTGTGTGTCTGTGTGTGTGCGCATGTGTGTGTGCGCGCGCGCACTTCCTGGGGACTCACCTTTGTGGTAAAGGAGCCAGCCCGGGCATAGTGATTGATCATCTGATCCTTGGAGAGGAAGCGACAGTCCAACACGTCCCGCCTCGTGGTCCAAATGAGGTAGGGAACTTGATTCCTAACCATGCGGGACTAGTGAGGAGAGAGGAAAAAGTCAGGGAGGGTAGTGTGGGTGGTGTCTCTTCACCCTGCTGGGCAGGAAGGAGAGGCTTCCAAGGCCTTCTCTACCCACACACCATCTTTGCACAGAGGAAGAAAGGCTGTGTCTTCCCCCGGGCACAGCTGGGTGAGCAGAGCGCAGGCCAGCCTTCAGCCTTGAGCAGACACTGAGATGCACAACAGAAGAACACAGCTTCGCACCTTGCTTTGGCCATGGCCATCATGACCTGCCTGGTCCAAGCTGAGGGCCTGGCACCTGGCACAGAGGCTCTTGTGACCCCTGTCTCTCCATCCTAGTTAACACCACTAGCACCAGGATTTGGGACCTGTTCTTTATCTTTTTTTGTTGTTATTGGTCATGGGGCTTGAACTAAGGGTCTGGGTGCTGTCCCTGAGTGAGTTCTGCTCAAGGCTAGTACTCTGTCATTTTTTGAGCCACAGCGTCAGTTCTGGTTTCTGGTGGTTAATTGGAAAGAGTCTCAGAGACTTTCCTGCCTGGGCTGGCTTTGAACCATGATCCACAGTCTCTGCTTCCTGAGACTCTAGGATGACAGGCATAGCCATGGTGCCCAGCTTTACATCTTTTTTTTTTTTCCTTGTCAATCGTGGGGCTTGAACTCTGGGCCTGGTCTCAGAGCTCTTCAGCTCAAGGCTAGCGCTATACCACTTGAGCCATGGCGCCACTTCCAGTTTTCTGGTGGTTAACTGGAGATAAGAGTCACATGGACTTTCCTGCTTGGGCTGGCTTTGAACTGCGATCCTCAGATCTCAGCTTCTAGAGGTAGGATTACAGGTGTGAGCTACCAGTGCCCGGCTTTTAATTATTTTAATTCTTTCTTTGCATACTGGGGATTGAAATCAGGGCTTTCAGCTTACTAGGCAAGCACTCTACCACCTGAGCCATGACTCCCAGAAGTTTCAAATCAGGTATAATAGCATACTCCTAGCACTCAGGAGGCTGAAGTAGGAAGTTTGGGAGTTCAAAGATAGCTTGGGCTACATAGTGAGAACCAGTCTCCAAAAGAATTTAAAAATTAAATGTAATGTATTTAACATAGAAGTTAACTACATTAAAGAATTAAGAATTTAAACATTCATTTTTGAGGTTAAATTTTAAAAGTTACACATGAGGGGCTGGGAAGGTGGCTCAGTGGTAGAGCGCTTGCCTTGCATGCCAGCCCTGGGTTCGATTCCTCAGCACCACATAAGCAAAAAGAAAAAAAAGAAAAAAAATGGCTCTGTGGCTCAAGTGGTAGAGCACTAGCCTTGAGCTGAAGAGCTGAGGGACAGTGCCCAGGCCCAGAGTTCAGGACCCATGACCGGACCCCCCCAAAAAAATAAAATAAAAATAAAAGTTACACATGAAATTCAACCTGATCTGGGTGGTGCCAAGCTCTGCACCCAAGTTGTCCTGGCCTGCCATGCGTGTCCACAGCTTCACACTGAAGTTTAAGCCTTCTCCAGGCAAAGAAAGAAGAAGGAAGGGAACCACCACCATACATAGAAAAGGGGCCAGTCTTGTCTCACTGTGGCCTTATGATGTTTATGCAGATGGGGAAACAGACCTAGAGGACACGAGGCTGCCTAGCTGGACATGAGTGCTCTCTCTCTGAGTAGACCGCCTCCTCTGACCCCCTGTCTCAGCTGACACCCAGGGCCCTCACCATCAAAGCGTGTGTCCCATCTATGTCATTAAATTCCAGCAAACCATCCAAGTTGAACAGGTCTGAAGACTGCGGCTCCTCACTCTCTTCTTCATCTTCTGTGGATGCAGAGACCAGACTGGATGAGAGTCCAACCCCACTAGCCTACAGGGCCACAACCCTGAAAGGACTTAGAAAGGGGCAGCTTCCGGTCAGGAAGGGACCTGCTCACCATCCTCTGTGGTATCACTGTCACCCATGGTTGAGCTATCCAGATCCTTCTGGGGTAGATGCAGGGCAGTGGCAGTGTGGTGGACCATCTTCTTTTCCACCCAGCCCCGCTGGCGCAAAAGACACCGGATCACTGGGTAGCGGCCTTGGATCATGAATATCTTCTTCTGCTGTAAAATAAGAGATGGAGACTTGTTCAGTTAGCACTAAGTGTCAATCACAAGGCAGGCTGGTGAAGCAGGCAGTACAGGCAGAAGGAATTATCATGTGCAAAGGTCCAGAGGTTGGATGGAGGTCAGGAGGAGAAAGGTGGCCAGAGGGCTGGGAAGGTGGCTCAATGGTAGAGCGCTTGCCTTACATGCCTGAGGCCCTGGGTTCGATTCCTCAGCACCACATAAGCAAAAAGAAAAAAGCCGGAAGTGGCACTGTGGCTCAAGTGGTAGAGCGCTAGCCTTGAGCTGAAGAGCTGAGGGACAGCGCCCAGGCCCAGAGTTCAGGCCCCATGACCGGACCCAAAAAAAAAAAAAAAAAAAAAAAGAAAGGTGGCCAGACTGAGCAGAATGGGGACAATGTGCTTATGCAGGGTACTGCAGTCCTGACACTTGGTCTTGGGTTTTATGTAAGGAGTTGCACAAAGCAGCAAGGCCTAGGGGAGGCAGTCAACAGTTGGAGGATTGTAAGTCTAGCTTGCTGCTAAATAGAGAATAGACAGTAGGGAACAAGTGGTGGCAGAACACTTGAAAGCTATTCTGAGACCAGAAACCAATGGCTCATGCCTGTAACCCTAGCTTCTCAGAAGCCTGTGATCTGAGGATCACAGTTCAAGCCAACCTGGGTAGGAAAGTCTTTTGAGACTCATCTCCAATTAACACCAAAAAGCCAGAGTGGAGCCTTTTTTTTTTTTTTCTGTCCTGAGACTTGAACTCTGGGCTTGGGCACTATCCCTCAGCTCTTCAGCTCAAGGAAAGCACTCTACTGCTTGAGCCACAGCACCACTTCCAGTTTTCTAGTGGTTTATTGGAGATAAAAGCATGGACTTTTCTGGCTAGGCTGGCTTTGAACCGTGATCCTCAGATCTCAGCCTCTTGAATAGCTAGGATTACAGGCGTGAGCCACTGGCGCCTGGCTTAGAGCACCAGCTTTGAGTGAAAAGGCTCAGTGCCAGTGCCCAGACCCTGAGTTTTAAGACCAAGTGCTGGCATACACACACTGGCGCATGCGTGCACGCGAGTGCGTGCGCGCGCGCGCGCGCGCGCGCACACACACACACACACACACACACACACAGAAAGCTGTTGTGGTTTGTACAGGAAAACCATCACAATAGCTAGAATGAAGGTTACAACATGCTGGTGTACAGGGCAGAGATGGGGAGAAGGCACCAGGGTTAAGATTTGGTTTTGGAGACAGAGACGATGGTTTTACTGATGGGATTAGACAAGATTTCTGACTTGAGTAACAGAGGTAGGAAGGCAAATTAGAGTATGGTTTTAGCGGTATGAGCGTGAAGAGCAGGCTGTCGCAGTGTGGAAGTGGGTGCGGCTGACCCGGGGGCAGCACACTGACTGGACTCAGAAGCCCACAAGAGAGATGGGGGGCTCTGGGACCACCAATATTCCAAGAACCTTCAGAGGCAGCTGAAAAACAGCCCAGCTGGGGAGGGAGGAGGAAAGCCAGGAGGAAGCCAGTGTGTGGCAGTGCAGAATGACACGAGGTACCCAAACAAGCAAAGGGTCGCTAGACATGTTGAAGCCATCCATCTCTGTTTCCCAAGGGAATGGGACAGCAAGGTAGGGACCCAAAGCAGAGGAAGAGTCAAGGTGGGGAGGTGCTTGAGAAGGGTATGGGGTGCAGAGGTTTTGTGGTTTAAGGATAAGTCTGTGAAACAGGAACCAACACACACATGCATACACATGTACACAAACTTGTATGCATACATACATGCATGCGCACACACAGGTGCAGGGGTTTTGTGGTTTCAGGATGTTAGAAAATAAGTCTGTGAACTACAGGAACCAACACACACACACATGCATACACATGTACAACACTTGTGTACACACATACACGTGCATGCACGCACACACACACCCTCGGGCCCCCTCCGACCTTGACAGCCCTCTCCACGTGGATCTTGGCGTTTCTGAGCCGGCCCATGTGGTGAGAAGCCTTCGAGAAGCCTTGCCAGAGAAAGGAACCTGCAAGGAGACGCGGGCACAGGAGCGGGAGCTGGCGGCTCAGCCCGGGCGTCCGGGGCTCGGCGGCGGCACCCCGTGCCCTCCCCCCTCCCCGCCCTCCCTGCTCCCCCCCCCCCCCCCCCCCCCCCCCCGCGGCCGGCCCGGCGGCCTCACCGCTCGGCAGCGAGCGGAGATCATCCGGCTCCTGGATGTAGGGGGCCAAGGGCGGGGGCTCCCGGGCGCCCTGGGGCTGGGCGAGCATGTCCGGCAGGCAGCACACAGCGGCGGAGCTGCGGGCCAGCAACCCCTCGGGCTCGGCGGGGGCCGGGGCCGGCCATGGCAGCCTCTCGGGCGGCGGGGACTCGGGGCCGGGCACCCAGGGCAACGGCGGCGGCGATGGCCAATCCTGCCCCGGGCCGCCCTCGAGGTCGTAGCAGGCGGGCGGGCTCCGCAGCCCGGACCCCAAATCCCCGGCGCTCAGCAGCAGCGTGGCGCCAGAGCCCCGCATGCGCCCCGCAGCCGGCCTCGCTCCGCCCGGCCTCCCACAGCGGCCTCGGCTCCCACAGCGCCCCCGCCCCGCCCCGCCCCGCCCTCTGTTTGCTGTCGCCTGGGAAACCACTCCCCCCACTGGAGGCTCGGCCGCCCAGGGCCCTGGGGTCGGGGCTTGAGGACGTCCAGCGGGGCCGGACTCTGGGCCTCGCTTGACCGGCTGGGCACTAAGGGCTGGCCGTCGGCACTAGTGTCAGCAGCTCCCGTGTGCAGGGCCCTGGGGCTTGGGTCACTGGGGGTCCCCCGGCTAACTAATAGTCTAAGGGCAGGAAAGCAAATGAGAGCCATCAGACAGCCTCTCGGCCTGTGACATTTAAGCAAAAGAGCCAGGAGCCACTGCAGGAGGACTGGCATTCTGGGGGGACTGGTGTGAGCTGTGGTCCACTCAGGGGACACGAAGCAGCTGATGTGGCGAAGCCTGACAAAGCATCAGGTGGGGACCCCGGTGCATGGCGATAGGATCGTTCAGGCCACACACTTAGGCCCCCCTCCCCAAACCTGGAAAAATAAATCATAAGCCAACTGCAGAAGAAATGTAATATATCGGAATGATTCTCTCTGACCCCTAGGCCAAGACCATGCACTAACCTTAAAAGTCAGAGAAGCCAGGCTCTGGTGGCTCCTCAGGGACGAGGCTGAGATCTGAGGATCTCTGTCTAAAGCCAGCCCAGGCAGGAAAGTCTATGACTCATGTCCAATCAAGCATAAAAAACAAAAAGCCATAGCCGGGCGCTGGTGGGTCACGCCTGTAATCCTAGCTACTCAGGAGGCTGAGATCTGAGGATCGTGGTTCAAAGCCAGCCTGGGCAGGAAAGACCATGAGACTCCTATCTCCAATAAACCAGAAAACTGGAAGTGGCGCTGTAGCTCAAATGGTAGAGTGCTCGCCTTGAGCTGAAGAGCTGAGGGACAGCGCCCAGGCCCAGAGTTCAAGCCCCACGACCGACAAAAAAAAAAAAAAAAAAGCCACAAGTGGAGCTATGGCTCAAATGGTAGTGTTAGGACAGGCTCTGAGTTCAATATCTAGGACCAGTACACTCAAAAAAAAAAAATCTAAGGCAGTTAAATACTTTGCTTTAAATCTCAGAACAGCCTGCTCCAAATGCCAGGGCTCCACAAACACTTGGAGGTCTGCCTGTGTCACCCAAAAACCTAACACCAGCAGTTTGAGAGGCAAACTCTAGCAGTGCCTATTCAAGTCCCAGGACAGGGACATACACACAGAAAAGGTGAATGAGATGTCCAGCTGATCTGAGATTACCTTTCCTACCCACCACACGGGGGGAACAGTGCTTCCCAAGAGAATGTCGCAGGAGAGTAGAGACTGGCGAGCACCCAATCTGTAGTCAGCCTGCAACTCTGGTTTTAGGGATTTAGGATGCTGGACGATAAATCTAGGATAAGCTAGGGTTTGAGGTTGCTCACCCAAATGATGCTGTCCTGAGATAGCTGAGTGACTAGATGTCATTTTCGTTGGGTCCTCCAGCTTTGCCAAGAGCACCTTCAACATTCCTTGCAAAGCTGTAACAGCCACTTGCACCAGAGGGCGCAACTAGTTCAGCCCAGCAGGAGGTCACAGAGGTAGTGTCACAAAGGGGCCAATAGCTGTTCAAGCTACCCCACCCCAGGTCTTCCTCACTTCAACATTTCCTTGTTCTCTTCATAAGATCCAGCTGGCTGAGGGAAATGCTGGAAAACTCAGCTCACAAGCCAGCCATTCCGGAAACCCCTTCTGCTCGTGGCCTGCAAACTTCTGACAGCAAATACAAAACTCTTCAATGTACCTATTTACTTACCTTTCTTCACTTTTACTGGTGCCTATCACCACTAACACTTATCACACTGGGAAGTTGAACAGCATAGATACAGGGATAAGGACTGTCATAGTTCACATTAATTTCAAGTTTATAGATTAAGAAACTATGGCAGGGGCTGGGAATGTGGCTTAGTGTAGAGTGCTTGCCTAGCATACATGAAGCCCCAGGTTTGATTCCTCAGCACCACATACACAGAAAAAGCCGGAAGTGGCCCTTGATTTGTGGTAGTGCTAGCCTTGAGCAAAAGAAGCTCACAGGTATTGATGGCTCCTGTCTGTCCTACTTAGGAGGCTGAGATCTGAGGATCACTGTTTGAAGCCAGCCTGGGTAGGAAAATCTGTGAAGACTCTTCAACAGACTACTCAGAAAAAGGGAGAAGAGGTGCTGTGGCTCAAGTGGAAGGACACTAGCCTTATGGGCTAATGCCCAGGCCCTGATTTCAAGCCCCAGGACTCACACCAAAGAAATAAAATGTGGGAAGTAACTCGTTTTTGAGCACGGGCCACTTTACCCTCTTGTTCACAAGCTGGAAGACTGCAGTAAGCCACTATGTCCCATGGAACCTCAGCCTTTTTATCCTCAAGATGGGATCTTTCATTCTGTTTTGTTTTGTCAGTTGTGGGGCCTGAATTCTGGGCCTGGGCGCTGTCCCTCAGCTCTTCAGCTCAAGGCTAGTGCTCTACCACTTGAGCCACAGGGCAACCTTCAGCTTTTTCTGTTTGTGGTGCTGAGGAATCGAACCCAGGGCCTCATGCATGCAAGGCAAGCACTCTACCACTGAGGTACCTTCCCAATCCAAGATGGGATCTTTGAGGCTACCTTCTGGCCCAGACATCATTATGTGAACAGCACCAAAGCTGTGTTACAAGTGGACATTTTCAGACTGGACGGTGCCTTAGGTACAATGGGGGCGGAGTGCTGGGCCCCAAAGTGAGCCACACAACCTGGGGGAAGAAGCCCAGACTCCCTTCTCACACACACACACACACAGAGCACAGACCTCATGCGGCCCCAAAGGGGCATGAAGAAACTTTAATTGGGGGAGGGAGGATCCACGAGACTCAGAAGAGAGATAGCGCGCGTGGGAGCAGAGGAGCCAGAGTGGGCTGGAGAGCCGCTGGGAGCTCTGGAGGGCTCACCTCTCCACCTCTAGCACAGGCACTGCACTGACAGACAAGGCGGGGCTGGCGCCTCACCAGCTGCAAGGCCCCAGCTCCTAGGCATGGCTGGTAATCATGGATTCAGCCCTTGTCCCCAACCAGTGCTGGGTGATCATCTTCAGGCAAAGCCCAGGAACTGGCAAAGGGTCCCTCTCCTGGGCCCAAGGAGGCTTCGGGATAAGAGAGCAAGGGAGAGAGACTGGAGTCTGAGGCCTCCCTCTCTCCCCACCTGGGGTGACACAGGGAGAAAAAAACAAGTCGCCTTCTGGCTCCAGGCCCGCCTAGACCCACAGCGACCAGTAAGGTACAATCACTGGGACCAGTCACAGCCATTGGAGGTGGAGATAGTTTAAAAAAAAAAAAGAGAGAGAGAGAGAGAAAAAGGTTAGGGTCTCCTACAAGCACAGAGTTTTAAGTTTCAGGACATTAAAAAAAAAAAAAATCTGTCCCAGCCCAGGGGACTAAACATCAGAAGCCAGCCTGACCAGGCACGTGTGGCCCGGGGAAAGGTCCACTGCTGCTTTCTTGCCCAGCTAGCAAGCACACCACCCCCTCCCGCATCTGTGCCCACCCAACCAGACTCCCCGCCGCCGCTGGTGCCGCCGCCGCCGCCACCGCTCCAGGATGTGACTCCAGGGCGCCTTCGCAGAACCACGCAGACACACACAGGGAGGCTGAGGGGGAGGCCGCGACATCCAGCCAGATGGTTTAAAACTGCAGAGAGAGCCAAGCAGCAGGGTGTGGCGGTTACTAGTGTGTCCTGGTAGGCCTGCGCTGAGAAGTGGGCTGACCTGAGAGCTCACAGCTGTGAGGGCTGGGCTGAGGCTCAATCTTAAATCCAGTTGAGACTTCAGTGGTAACCTATGTCATTGCAGAAAAACTAGGGGTTTGGCGCTTTCCCGCAGCTCCCCCGACACTGCCTTGTTTGCTGGGTCAAATCTGGTTTCTTTAAACATGGAGTTCATATCCAAGGGGCCTGAGGAATGAACTGGCCAAGAGGAGAGGAATCAGGATCTGGTGTTACCTATCAAGCTCTGGGGGGTTACGCCAAAAAGTCTTAGAAATGTTTTCTGCCTTCATCTCCCTATGGTGCCTAGAACAGTTTTGACGCTACAACAGAAGCTGGGAACCAATGGTTAAGGACTAAATGCAGCCCAAGACTACCTGGTCCACGCAGCAGTCAAAAATGCTGAATTATACCACCCTTCCATTACAGGGGAACCAAGGCTTCCTAGCACCCTGGCCTTCCACCAATCATAGAAGGCTTACCAAGTACCAGGCACTATGCTTTCATAGGAAATCACATGTACTACTCAGCTTCTCTGAGAGAATTATTAACATACCATCCTCCTTCTGGTGAACCTGCCAGGCACACAGCACAGCTTCCTGCATGCTAGCACAGTATAATTAGGCCCCAGGGAAGTGGGTGAATTCTGTATTTAGGAATCTGGGCTCCTCCTGGGCTGCATGTATATTGGTAGCAGT